CAACCTTCCTGTGCTGACCACAGCCCTCCCTCCCGTGAGTCAGCACCCAGAGCGCTCTGCTGAGCCACCCCGGAGCTCAGAGGGGTGGGCTCGGCCCGAGCCGCTGACCGCTGGCACCCCTCCCTTGTCCCTCACAGTGGTGCCATCTCCAGGGTGGGCTTCCACATGGGGCGTGTCTCTTGGCTTCGCCCCTAGGTTTCCTCCTCCTCACGGTCTCTGGGGATTGGGTTACATGGCACCCCTAGTTCCAGAGTCACCTTCCGCTTTAAGACTTCCTTCTGTGCAGTGGGCAGGACAGCAGAGAAGGTGGATGCCAGCCCCCCTTAAAGACAGCTGTGGGGGTCCATGTGGCCAGGTGCCCCACTTGGTGCCCACTGTCGGGACATCTCTCTCTGGATCCTTGTGGGACCCCGACAGCCCTGCCTTTGATCTCTGGGAAACGGCTCTGTGAAGCCCCCCAGTCCCCTCGTCCCTTTCAGGAGCACTGTCCTCCCTCCACCAGGGTCCCTTACAGGTTGTGGGGCCAAGAGGGCCAGTCTGTTGCCTGATTCAGAGGGCACCCCTTGTTCTTGGAGGCAGGGACTATCTGGCTGCCGTCCAGGGTCTGGCCCACACGGAGGGAGGGCATCTCCACTGTATGCCCCCCATCTGGGTCCCATTTCCCCAGGACTCTGCCGGGTTTGTTTGTTTGTTTGTTTGTTTTTCCCGGACATCTGTGTCCCCCACCCCCTGGGGGCATCTTCACAGGCAGAGGCCCTAGGGTGCAGGGGTCAGCCTGGCCTTTCCTGCCCCCAGGTCTGTCAAGATGGAGAAGTTGCTGCATCAGACTTGACGCAGGGCGTTCTCTAAACTAAGGAAGTGATTTGCTCAAGGCCACGCTAGTGGGTGCCCAGGCTGCTCCTCCCACTCGCCCCCAGGCTTCCTGCCCCAGATCTCTGTTCTTTGGGACCCATGAGAGCTACAGCGGGGTTCCCACTGTGAGGTCAGTTCCCAGTACCAGCACCGTGAGCTCCACGGCCAGCAGTCAGAGGGAGGACCTGGACTCATGGGTGGTCAGAACGGGTCTGCAGTGAGTCGAATGGTGGCCTCAGAGAGACATGCCCCAGTCCCAACCCCAGGACCTCGGGACGTGACCTCACTGTTGATGTAACTGGTTAAGATGAGGTCACACTGGAGTGGGGTGAGCTCTAATCCAATATGACTGGTGTCCTTGTAAAAAGAGCACCTTGTTGCCCTGTCCAGTTAGTCTCAGCGGTTAGAGCGTTGGCCCGTGGTCTAGAGACCTGGGTTTGGTTCCCGCCAAGGGCATCGGTTGCAGTTTGTCCCTGGCCCCGTTTGGGGTCACGTGGGTGGCAGCCAGTGTCTCTCTCACATCAATGTTTCTTTTTCTTTTTTTTAATCCTCACCCAAGGATATTTTTGCATTTATTTATTTATTTATAATCCTCACCTGAGGACATTTTTCCATTTTTTGTTCAGATAGAGTGGGAGAGAGAGAGAGAGAAACATTGACATGAGAGACACATCGAGTGGCTGCCACCGCACAACCCAATCAGGTCTGGGGACAAACTGCAACTGAGGTACATGCCCTTAGCGGGAACCAAACCCGGGTCTCTCTGAACTGCAGGCCGCTGCTCTAACCGCTGAGCCAAACTGGCTAGGGCATTTTTGCATTTATTTTGAGACAGAGCGGGAGGCAGAGAGGAAGGAAGAGAGAGACAAACATCGACATGAGAGAGACACATCGAGTGGCTGCCACCCACACGACCCAACCAGATCTGGGGACAAACTGCAACCGAGGTACATGCCCTTAGCGGGAACCAAACCCGGGTCTCTCTGGTCCACAGGCCGATGCTCTAACCACGGAGCCAAACTGGCCAGGACTCACGTAGATGTTTGTTTCTCTCTCTTCCTTCCCCTCTCCCTCTTGCTCTATCTGAACATGAATGCAAAAGTGTCCTCAGGTGAGGATAAAAAAATAAAAAAGAGCACCTTGTGAAGAAAGACACACAGGAGGACCATGTGATGATGGAGGCAGAGATTGAAGCGATGTGGCCACAAGCCAAGGGACACCGGGGATCGCCAGGAAACCCCCAGGAGCTGGAAGAGGCAGGAAGGAGTCTAGCTAGGGCCTTCAGTGGGAGCACAGCCCCGCAGACACCTCGATTTTGGACTTGTGGTCTCCAGAACTGTTGTCTTAAGGCCCCAGATTTATGGTCATTTGTTCTGTCCCCAGGACATTGACACACCATCAGCCATTGGGCAGCAATGGGGATGCAGCAGGCTGAACACAGCTCGAAGGCCCTCCTCCCACAGGGAGGAGGGGCGCCTGCCTTGCAGGTGAGCAGAGGGCATTCCGGGTTGTGGAGTGGAGGGTCTGAGCTGGGCCTGACCCATGGAGATACTGGCTGGGGAGCAGTCAGTGACCAGAAACACATGCAGGGGGCCACTGAGGGGGCTGAGACTTTGGGCTACTTGGGTTACTGTGTGTCTTGATGGGTGAGCCTTGGTGGTCCCAGGAGGGAGCCCTGGAGGGCTTTGTGGGCCTAACTTTGGACCAGCATGTGCCTTCGTCCCCCATGGTCATCTACTGGGCTACTGGTTATGGGGCATGGATAAGGGGCCCCAGGGAGACCAACCAGACAAGATTTCAGACCTCAGAGGGGCATGGGGGCCAGCCAGGTGTGGTGTGACAAGGTGGGCGCATGGCCCCTTGGCAGGACCTGTTCGCAGCCTCCACCATTTGCTGGCTGTGTGATGTGTGGAGACAGGTGTACCTTTCTGGCCCTGGCACTCGGGAAGCCTCAGCCGGGTCTCAGGTACAGGGTCAGTTCTGGGGTCTCGGGAAGATGGGAGGAGGGGCCAGGAAGGCACATGTCCCTATAAGAGGGCAGTGGGAGCTGGCTCTTCCCACAGGAAGAGAGGCCATGCTGTGCCTGGGGTCACCCTTGGTTGTAGCACTAGGGTCAGTGTTCATGTTGGGGTTGGGTGGGTCAGGGTTAGGGGCCATAGACGGTGAGGGGAGGAGCTCATATTTGTTGTTAGGCTTTCTGCTTGTTGAAATAGGCGCATCCTATGGGCTCTTTATACACACCTGGGGCCCCTTCACTAGGGCTGAACCAGCACCCTGTCGTTCATGTTTCTGACCCCTGAAGCAACGGGGAAGGGAGGGTGTCACCCCCATTCGATAGAGAAGCAAACCCAGTCCCAGAAAGCTGTAAGGGGGCAGGCGGGGAGCTGGGATTTGAACTGGGCTCTGTCTCTCCAGCTGCTCTTGTCAGGCAGGGCTGTTTCCATGTGGTTTCTGCACGGTGGTGGCTCACTGTACCCACTTCCCGTGGGGCTTGGCTTCCTGATCTGCCTCTGACATTTATTTTTATTAAAAAAAATTTTTTTTTCCATTATTGATTTTTAGGGAGAGGGAAAGAGAGAAACATTAATGAGAGAGAACATTGATTGGCCGCCTCCGGCATGCCTCCCACTGGGGATCAGGCCCACAACCTGGGCATGTGCCCTGACCAGGAATCCAACTGGTGACCTCTTGGTGCAGGGCCGACGCTCAACCGCTGAGCCTCACCGGCCTGGCTGCCTCTGACGTTTAATGCTTCCTGGACTCTCCAGGAGCTGTAACTGGAGCAGACTTTCTTAGGGTTAGGTGGTTGGGACGTTCGTCCAGCACTGGCAGGGGGGCGAAGACGGAGCGACAGGAGGAGCTGGAGCAGGGGTGCGCCGGAGCCGGCGGCCGGCGGTGCCCATCACTGCCCGGAGCTCCGCGGTGCCACCGCCAGGCGGGCTGAGCGCGTTCTGTGTCCCCTCGGGCGGCTGTGGCCCCAGCCCCAGGGGACGCCCAGACGCTGGGACGGGGGCCGGAAGCACCGGCTGCCCGCCGAGGTGGGCTTGTTTCTTTCTGCAGCGTGTACTCGTCCTTGCGCACAGGGACAAACGCGCACACGCTGCGGCGCACGCGCGGACCAAGCCTCACAGGCCGGCCTTGCACGGCGCCCAGGGCAGGAGGAACTCGGGGCCCGGCTCTCGTTGCCGGCCGGCGGGCCCTGAGCGCTGCACCGAGCGCGCCCGGACCGCGGCGGGCGGACTCCCGTCGTCATGGCAACGCCGCGGGACCGGAGGTTGCTCTCGGCCGGCGCTCGGGCTGAGGCGCGGGCCCCAGGGCCTCGCTCGCGGCCCCTCGTCGCTCCCCTTGGGAAGACGCGAGACTGAGACCCTGCGCGGCCTGCGGGCCCCCACCCCGCGCCGTCCCGGCGGACAGACCGCGCCAGGTTCGCGTCCCCGCCCGCCCGCCCGCCCGTCAGACGCAGGCCCCGGGCTCCGGGGTGGTGGCCGCGCGCGTGTGGATGAGAGGAGGACCGCCGCCCTCCTGGCCCCGCCCCCACGCGTGTCCGTGGGCTGTGCGCATGTGCGCGCCAGTCCTCGGGGGGTGAGTCCTCCCACCCCGCCCTCTGAGGTCGGCTCTGTTCCCTGGTCCGTGTCTCTGCGTCTCTTTTGTTCGTCAGCTTATTTTTTATTTATTTTCATTTTTTTTAAAAATATGTTTTTGTCGACGTTTTTTAGAGACAGAGAGAGGGGAAGGGGGAGAGAGAGAAACATCCGTGGGCTGCGTCCTGCAGGCCCCTCCTGGGGGTGGAGCCCGCGGCCCAGGCACCTGCCCTGACCCGGGACGGACCCTCGCCTCTCAGTCCACGGGTGACACTCAGTCCACGGGTGACACTCAGTCCACGGGGCACAGGGGCCAAGCGTTAGCGCATCTTTATTTACTTCGTTATTTTTATTCCTCCCCGGAGGATATTTTTCTCCTTATTTTGAGATAGAGTGGGAGGGAGGGAGGGAGAGGGAGAGACATGGCTGAGTCAGAGCCACATGGACTGGCTGCGTCCCGCAGGACCCGACCGTGGCCAGAACAAACCGAAACCCAGGGCCGTGCCCGTGACCGGAATGAACCCGGGACTCATTGGTCTGCGGGCTGACACGCTGAGCCACACCAGCCAGGGCCCAAACCCTTCACACACACATTGAGGACATTTTTGCCTGTATCTTCAGATAGAGCGGGAGGGAGAGAGAGAGAAACATCGATGTGAGAGAGACTCGTCGACTGACTGCCTCCGCAGGTCCCCGGTGGATTGAACCGCAACCAAGGTACCTGACTTTGACTGGAATTGAACCCATGGCTCCTTGGTCTGCCTGTCACCGCTCTAACCACTGAGCAAAATCGGCCAGGGCTCCCCCAGACTCTTATAGTAGTTGGTTTAGCAGAGTCGGAAATGAACGTGATACAAACCACCATCCAGGACGCAGGTTTTGTTCCGTTACCGCCAGAGTTGATGGGCAGGGTCCAGCCCAGACTGTCCGGCTATCCTCTTCCTCTTTACTCCTGAACAGTTTTGCAGCCTGCTTTGACTTCTCGGAGTCTCGGAGTCAGTTTGGGTTTATCTGATGTCTCCTCGTGATTAATAATGTTAAACTATGGCCCTGGCCGGTTTGGCTCAGCGGTTGGAGCGTCGGCCTGCGGTACAGAGAGACCCGGGTTCGGTTCCCGCTAAGGGCACGTACTTCGGTTGCAGTTTGTCCCCGGCCCTGGTTGGTCGTGCGGGTGGCAGCCACTCGATGTGTCCCTTCACGTCGATGTTTCTCTCTCTCTCTCTTTCTTCCTCTCTCTCCCTCCCGCTCTATCTGAACAAAAAATGGAAAAATGTCCTCGGGTGAGGATAAAAAAAAAAAAATGTCAAGCTATGCATTTTGGTAAGAAAGCCTCACCAGCGAAATCGTGTTCTCGGTGCATCTAGGCCGTAGGCACATGCTCTCACTTTGCCCCATTGCTGACAGTCACTCGGCTTAGGTGGTGTCTTGGTGTCTCCGTTTCCACCAGTTACGGTTTTCCCCTTTGTAAATAGTATCTTGTGGGGAGATGCCTTGAGACTAAGTATCTTGTTTGTAACCATGCTGCCTGTCGGTAATGTTAGAATCCACAAGTGAATGTTTTCTGAAACAATTATGTCCTATTTGCCAAATGATATTTCCATCTCTGTTATTCCTTCTACATTTATTCGTTGGATTTCTACTGTAAGAAAGAACCTTTCCTTCTCATTTTTTCCATTTATTTCATTATTTGCGTTGGTATAGACATTTTATTTTTATTCCACATGTTATAATCCATTACTCTTGGTTTTTTTTTGTTTTGTTTTGTTTTTTTATCCTCACCCGAGAACATTTTTCCATTTTTTGTTCAGGTAGAGTGGGAGGGAGAGAGAGGAACAGAGAGAGAGAGAGAAACATCGATGTGAAAGGAACACATCGAGTGGCTGCCACCCTCACGACCGACCAGGGCCGGGGACAAACTGCAACCGAGGTACGCGCCCCTAGCGGGAACCGAACCCGGGTCTCTCTGGACCGCAGGCCGACGCTCTAACCGCTGAGCCAAACCGGCCAGGGCTACTCTTGGTTTTTTGTTGTTGTTGCTTTCATTGTCCAGATTCGGGCGTTAGGAGCTGAAGCTGGCTTCATTGTCCTGAAGCTGACTCCTGTGCCCTGTAAGCATGCCCCAGCCTTTCCGGGCACTTCCTTTCTTCCTGGCACCACAAACTGCTCCGGGCTCATCTCGTGCTTTCCGTGACTGAGCTGGAGTCAGTCGTATCTCTCAGGAGTGCGGTTTCTTAGCCTGTAAGACGGTGCTGTTTAGAAAGCAAGATCTGGCTATAGGGGTGTGGTTGCTGTGGGAACATCATTGCTTTTTGGCTTTCTCCATGGGCAGAGCTAGAAAACGGGTCTGCATACATCCGTATCCATCTCTGCGTCCGCCTGCCAGGGTATACATGAAAAACTGTCTGTTTATATGGACACCTACAATTCTAATCTCTTTCCACAGGGCTCACTCTCCATTCCTTCTCTTCTCTAAGTCTGGCTCCATTGTCCTCAGTTTGGTCAATGATTTGCCCAGTCCTAGGCCATACATGAAGTAGTTTCAGGATCACCAGTCCACGTTTCTGTGAAAAGCAAACCTACTAACAAGTATAATATTTGCATACAGTTGTTTTTGTTTTTACTCTCAGAATATATCATCAAAATAACAGTCTTGCAGAGTTGGCTGTATGTACTGTGTTTGTAATAAAGATAGATCCACTTGTTTCATTTTGAGTCACTGATGGAAGGTTTTGGGCTGTAAACATCTGAAAGTCAGCAGGGTCTAAGCTCTTAAGTATGAGATTATTCTACTTCTCTTTCCTTTTATTTCTCATTTACTCACTTTTTTGGGGGGGGAGTGGAATTTGGCAGGTGTGAATGCAAAGAAAAAAGCACTGCCTACCCTCACTGTGTGGTGCCCCTCACCCCCAGCAAGTGCCAGGGATGGGATCACCAACTATCAGCGGCTCGTCTCTTATTTCAGGTTTGACAGATAGTTGTGGGTACTGTTTGGCAGTCAGTGAAGGATAGGAAAGGAGGCTTGGGGTCACAGGCTTGGATCCCCTTCAAGATGAAGCTTAGCTCAGGCTGCCTGTGTTGGGGTGCCAGAGGGTGCCAGTGTTGTGTCCACTGCCTGAGTACAGAGCAGTGTGCCATCTGTGGACTTGCCCTCAAGTCTCGTGTAAACATTTTGTAAATTAAGCTCATTGCGTTTGTTTACAGAGCAGCAACAAGACCGGCTCCCTTACCAGGCAGAGCAGGTGGATTCTGCTGCATTGGAAGTGCTGGGGTGGATCTCAGTGGTAGAGTGGGCGGCCGGGCGCCTCCAGAGCCACAGCCCTTCAGAGCAGCAGGTGCTCCGAACGCCTGCTTCGGTGTCGGTGCCCAGCCAGTGCGCTTAAACCACTTGCTCAGGAGCGCCCAGCGATGGACTTTTACACCTTTACAGATGGTCCTTTTGTGCACGTTGCAGAGTTTGCAGCTGCTGATGTTTTATTGAGGTAGCAGTGCACTGATCAGACGTTCATTCTGACTCAATCTGACTCAGAGTTTAGGTCAGCTGAGCAGGGGTGTGATCGGGTGGCTACGGTCCATTTCTGGCTTTGATGTGTTTTCTCTGATGGCCTGGTCATCTTGGCGAGGGGTCAGGTTGAGATGGACACAGACAGAATCACCTCCTGCTCAGCAGGCACGTGTCACCGCAGCCAGCTTGCTGGGGGCGGGGCATCTCCAGGGCAAGGCCAGCCTCTTAGGAGCGCAGCCCAGAGACAGCTGTGCTTGGAAGGGCTTCCTTGCCCTTGTAGCTCCTTCTAGCTCCTTCGCTGTGAACACTTTCCTCTAAGTGCGATGCCCTTGGCCACGAGTCCTCCTCGCGACTCTGGGTGTCTGGATCCTGTCATAATTTCTTTGTTTAAATACCTATCTAGTTATATTCTTTTTTTTTCTTTATTGATTTTTTTTTAGAGAGAGGAAGGGAGAGAAGGAGAGAGAGATAGAAACATCGATGAGAGAGAACATCAACTGGCCGCCTCCTGCATGCCCCTCACTGGGCATCTGGCCCACAACCTGGGCATGTGCCCTGACTGGGAATCAAACCAGTGACCTCTTGGTGCAGGGTCGATGCTCAACCACTGAGCCACACCAGCCAGACAGACAAGGTCCTGTCATAAGTTTGAAGAGACATCTCAAGTTCTGCACCCACTGGAAGCGCCGATTTTGTTTCTCGCTGTGCTCTGCGCGGGGTCCCGGCACTGCTGGGACAAGGGTGGGCTGCCCATGAGGGTCAAGCAGACCGTGGGGGGGAGGGTCAGTGAATGAATGCCGGTGAGTGTGCCAGTGAGTGTGTGCCAGTGAGAGTGCCAGTGAGTGAGTGTGCCAGTGAGTGAATGGAGTGTGCTGGTGCGTGGAGTGCCGGTGAGTGTGCCAGTGAGTGTGTGCCGGTGAGAGTGCCAGTGAGTGAGTGTGCCAGTGAGTGAGTGCTGGAGAGTGTGCCAGTGAGTGAGTGTGCCAGTGAGTGAATGGAGTGTGCTGGTGAGTGGACTGAGTGCCGGTGAGTGTGCCAGTGAGTGTGTGCCAGTGAGTGAGTGCTGGAGAGTGTGCCAGTGAGTGAGTGTGCCAGTGAGTGAATGGAGTGTGCTGGTGCGTGGAGTGAGTGCCGGTGAGTGTGCCAGTGAGTGTGTGCCAGTGAGTGTGTGCCGGTGAGAGTGCCAGTGAGTGAGTGTGCCAGTGAGTGAGTGTGCCAGTGAGTGAATGGAGTGTGCTGGTGAGTGGAGTGAGTGCCGGTGAGTGTGCCAGTGAGTGAGTGCTGGAGAGTGTGCCATTGAGTGTGTGCCAGTGAGTGTGCCAGTGAGTGAGTGCTGGAGAGTGTGTGTGGAGCTGGTCCACACTCTGCTGTGCTGTGCGAGGCACCGTCTTAGCCCAGGGCACACTGAAACTACCTGGGGGCTGAGGTGGCCCTCTGGCCGGGGCCTCTGCTGCCAGTCTGGGGCCTGCGAGTTGCCCATGTGTGGGAAGCCATGGCGTTCCACCTTCCTACGACCTGGGGGTTTCCCAGAGCTTTTTATACCTGACCGGTAAACTTATCACATAAAAAAGGTGAGAAGGGAATGGAAGGGCTGAGAGGACCTGGTGTGGTCCTGGTCCTTCCCCTGCTGGGCAGCAGGCATCCTAGAGAGGACTATGACCAAGGTGACAGTCCCCCCCCCCCCCGCCCGGAGATTTCTGCCGTTTTCCCAGAAAATTTCTGGGTTCCTCCTGAGAAAACGAGGTGTTTGCTGGGACAGCTGCTGGCTGACGGACAGCTTAGGTGCAGACTCAGAGTCTGTGACGTTTAAAGCCGATTAGTCTCAGCCTCTGGGGTCAGCCTTTGGTGGGATTTGTACGGAACAGGGCAGGCTGTTCTGTAATAGGGGAGACGGGAGGGACATTGGACATCTGGCACACTCCCTTCGCAGGTCAGTTTGCCTTCGGGTCCTGAGCGTAGTGGGGTCTGCGGTATGTGGTAGAAGCTGGTTTTTCTCTGGGAAGCAGCTGGAAATGCAGAGGGAGCCGTGGTGTGAACATGGGCCCAGCCCCGTCCCAGGGTCTTTGTTCACTATGCCTAACAGGTTGAACTTTGTCTTGAAAATGGCCAGAGCCCGGCCAGTGTGGCTCAGTGGTTGAGCGTTGACCTTGCACCAAGAGGTCGCCGGTTCGATTCCTGGTCAAGGCACATGCCTAGGTTGTGGGCCCAGTCCCCAGTGGGGGGCATGCAGGAGGCGGCCAGTCGATGTTCTCTCTCATCGATGTTTCTATCTATCTCTCCCTCTCCCTTCCTCTCTCTCTAAAATCAATAAAGGAAAAAAAAATCAAGACAAAAAAGAAAATGGCCAGGAGTCCAGGGCACGGGATCACGTGATCAGATTTCCATACCAGAAGAGTCACTCTGGTGGTGGTCATGTGACTGAGGCTAGTGACCTGCACAGGACAGAGTGTGGGGGAGCACTCCTCAGAGGAGGGGAGCCCATGGCCTCGCAGACCCTGGCGTGCTCTCTTGGGCACACTGTCCCAGATCACAGTCGCGTGGGTGCTGGTTAAGATTGTGTATTGCCAACACCCCAATTCTGTCCCTGTGACTATGTGCAAGCCTACGTCAGCTTGTGTGTGTGCTGGGTTCTGGGGTGAGCCTGCCAGACCCCAGAACTCACCAGGCCCATGAGCTCCTCATTCACACAGCCCACCACAGTCACCAGCTCAAGGTCCATCACTGTGGACACCCACCCCTGCAGGTCACCGCATCACCTCCTCCTTCCACGTCCGGGCTTTCCCTGCGCTTTGTGGCCAGTCTGCCTATGACCTGGCCCGGCCACTGGCTTCCCAGTGTTGCTGGGTTCCCTGCCACCAGCACAGGGCCATAGCCCATGTAATGTGGGTCACCTGTGACGTGTCACTTCTTACGTCATGTGTGTCACTTCTGACATGTGTTCCACCTATGACGTGTCACCTGTGATGTGTGCCTTGTTTGTGGCATGTGCCACACACGTCACTTCAGGCACACATGTTGCTTAGGACACGTCGCTTTCTACCTTATGTGCCCTGTCAGACACCATTCCTAATGTGTTGCACATGTGTTCTCTCTGGTGTGTTGGCATATGTGACACATGTGCTACTTTGGACAGGTATGTCCCTTGTGCCCTGTGTCACCTACATGTCACTAGTGATATGTGCACCACCTTTTTCTTTTTTTTAATCCTCACCCAAGGACTTTTATTTTTTGCATTTATCTTCAGATAGAGCAGGAAGGAGAGAGAGAGAGAGAGAGAAATATCGATGTGAGAGAGACACATCGAGTGGCTGCCACCCACACAACCCCAACTGGGGCCGGGGACAAACTGCAACCAAGGTACATGCCCTTAGCGGGAACCGAACCCAGGACTCCCTGGTCCGCAGGCCGACGCTCTAACCACTGAGCCAAACTGGCCAGGGCATGTGTAGCACCTTTGACACATCACATATGCGCCACTATGACCCGTGGTCTGGGCCTAGTGTGCTCCTGATCTGCTGGCCTAGGGGAGCTGCCTCGTGGCGCTGAAGAATTCACAGCGACCAGACAGCGGGGCGCTGGGGTGGGCAGGTGGGAGCACCCTGCGAGTTCCTAACGAGCCTGCTCCTGCCTCTCACCACAGTGGCCACAATGCTGCCACCGCCCTCGGAGCAGGTGCTGAATGAGCTGCTGGCTCGCAAGGAAGAGGAGTGGAGGGCTCTGCAGGCCCATTGCTCCCAACGGCAGGAGGCGGCTCTGCAGGACGCGAACAGCCAGCTGGAGGAGGCCCAGGGGAGGCTGCAGCGCCTGCAGGAGGACTTCGTCTACAACCTGCAGGTGCTGGAGGAGCGGGACCGTGAGCTGGAGCGCTACGACACCGCCTTCGCCCAGGCCCGCAGGCTGGAGGAGGCCAGGCAGGCCGAGGTGAGCGAGCTCAAGATCGAGGTGGCCAAGCTGAGGCAGGCGCTGGCCAGTGAGGCCAGGCGGCTGGAGGACCTGCAACAGCAGCACCAGCTGGAGCTGCAGGAGCACCGCCTGGAGCTGGAGCGGGTCCACAGGTAGGGTCACACCCTTCCAGGGCTGCCTGGCCCTGTGCTGAGTGCTGGCACTCACTCAGGGGCACAGAGCTGGCCGGCGGCTCCATCCACCAGGCATTCACTCCCACAGCACCTCCCCAGGTCCTGGGAAAGCACCAGCGCCTCCCACCGAGGCCGGCCTCCCCTGGGTCAGGAAGTGTGTCCTTTTAGCCCTGGCCAGTTTGGCTCAGCGGTTGGAGCGTAGGCCTACGGACCAGAGGAAGTGTGTCATGTTTGTTTTTTTTAATTTTTAAAAAATAGTTTATTGATTTTTAGAGAGAGAGGGAGAGAGAAAAACATGAGTGAGAGAGCACAATATGGACGTCTGCCTCCTGCATGCCCCCCACTGGGGATCCAGCTGCCACCGGGCATGTGCCCTGACCGGGTCAAGCCAGCAACAGTTCAGTGCACATGACAACACCCAGCTGACAGACCCACACCAGCCAGAGCGGGAAGTGTCTTATAAACGCAGTGTAGACGTTGACATCAAGTTGTTCATTGTGTCCTTTAAAAGTGACGTGACGCAGGCTCCGGATCAGAGGCAGGCGGGGCCCCGCTGCCCTCGGGACCCTGCTCTCACTTCTCTCCCGCAGAAGTGCTGAACGCGTCCCTAAGGCGCTTCCCATTGTTTGTCGAGTGTCTCCTCAGGTCTGCTGCCATTTATTTTTGCAAAATTTAGGACATTTTTAGCCATGAATTTCTTTTTTTTTTAAAATTCTCACCCAAGGACATTTTTGCATTTATATTCAGATAGAGCATGAGGGAGAACAGGAGGAAGAGAGAGAGAAACATTGATATGAGAGTGACACATCGACTGGTTGCCACCCACACAGCCCCAACCGGGCCTGGGGATAAACTGCAACCGAGGTATGTGCCCTTAGCAGGAACCGAACCCGGACTCTAACCACTGAGCAAAGCTGGCCAGGGTGCCTTGAGTTTCTTGGAGTACATTTTGTCCCCTCCCTCGACCTTCCATTCTGGAAAGGCCCTGAGGCGGTTTCTCCGTTTTCCAGCAGGGTGATCTCCCTCGTTCTGTCGGCAGGGTCCAGCTCCGCCCTGTGCCTCATTCTGCGGCTGAGCCCCCAGGGAGCCTACAACTGGGGTTCTGGCTCTTGTCAGTGCTGATTTCCGTTGGCCTCTTGCTGTCTTCTCTGTCTTTGCTGAGTTTCTATTTTTCATGTTTTACGAAGGGGCTGGCTGCTTGTTTTGTGATGGCAGTTCTGACACTCTTGTTACGACATGTGCTTGTCTGCCATCCTGGTGTTGGCGTCTGCTGTCTGCCTGTTCTTATTTTGGTGGAAATTTCTGATTGTTTCCTGGATGCTGTGGGGATTATGTGGTTTTGCTTCCCATTTCATGTTCTGTCTTGCAAGCTGCCACCTGTCTAGGTGTAGCACCAGGCCGGGTGAGGGTGTGCAGCTGCTCTAGGCCCCCTCAGGCCAGCCCATGAGGCGAAGCACCAGCTCGTGCACAGCTGGCCCGGCAGACGTGTCTTCCTGAGCACGATCAGCCAGGCTCCTCCTGATGCTGCTGTTTCCTCACACAGCGACCAGAGTGGTGAGCTCGACCTCCAGCGGGAACAGCATGAGCAGCTGAGATGGAAGCTGGAGAGGAAGCTTGAGGAGCTTGGCGGCGAGCTAGCCCTGCAGAGGCAGGTAAGGTGCACGGCGCTGGGGGCCTGCTCGGGCAGCCCTGCCCGCAAGGTCCCAGGCCCAGGAAGACGATCACTGTGCGATGTCTGCACGTCGCAGCCGGGTTGTGGACAGATGTCCCTCTGTGGGGTCAGCAGGGAAATCTGATGGTGTGTGGCTTCCTCTGCGGCATTGAGCTCCACAGTGCTCTTTCCTCAGGAGTGAGCAAACCCCGTGTGTATCCCAGGAAGAGGTCTCATGCAGTTAAAGTCAGGCCAATTGCCGTAGAAAAGAGCCAGGAACCCAGGCTGTGACACCTGTGTCTCTCAGCTAAGCAGCAAGGATTGCAAGTCTCTGCAGATGCGTCAACAACAGGTGGCACTTTAGACTGTCACCGACAGTTCTCCTCGGCTTTGTTGGAACTTGGCCTGACCTCTGAAAGGCTCAACTGCATTGTGGCCAGGGTCCATGTCTCATGGGGCTACATGGGTACAGGTGCCAGGTGACGGGGGCCCCTTGGTCTCCTTTGAGGAAGTTCAGGGCTCCTGTTGTGGGCAGTGGCTGCTGTTTAAGGAAACCACCTTCTTGAAGCTCCTGGTGCCCATGTGAGCTCATCCGCTCCTCACAGAGCAGCACAGCTGTGCTCTGAGCCGCACAGGTGGGGCCAGGCACTGAGGAACCTGCCAGGACCTCTTGATAAGTGGTGGCAGAGCTGTGGCCTGAGTCCAAGACGCCTGTGGCATGGGAACGCTTAGCCACTGTTACCTGCCCCAGGGTGGCTCCTCAGGCCTTACTTGTAGACTCATGTCTGATATCAGAGGAGCAGGACCCAGAAGTCAGCCTGTGCTGTGTCCCGTCTCTGCCCTCCTCAAAGGGATGCTGCGTGAGCTCTGGTGTGTCGGTGAACATGCCGTGGACAGCCGCCTGCCTAGCTAGATCCAGGTGCTGGTGGTGCTGGCGGAGGGGGCCTGCCTGCTGGCCCGCCATCCCACAGCACAGTGTTGTCGCCCTGAGACAGGGCAGCTGTGTCATTGTGACGAAAAAATGCCTGTGGACATGACTGTCCTCTGGCCACAGAGGAGGGTGCGGAGGCCCGTCCTTCCCTCCCCCTCTGGAAGTTCATTGCCACGAGGCTGCTGGTGCTCACAACATCCTTTAGCGTGCTCGAACTTTCCTGCAGAGGGCTTTCCTGTGGAGTTCTCGGGATCAGTGCTCTTTCCCTCTCTGAGCAGGTGTGACGTTTGGGAGTAGCCGTGTCCTGTAGCACTAAGCTGGGCGAGCAAGAAAAGAGCAGCTGTAACTTTTCTGAAGTGCGGGGTCCTCAAATGGTGTGGAGTCACCTCCAAACACGGCATTTCAGAGGGGCTCAGGCAGCGGAGGGTGGTCCTGGGCAGCAATGAGCCTGGGGAGTGGTGGCTGTGCTGGTCACTGGGGGTCCCAGGCCATCCACACTTGGAGCCTCTGCACAGCTCTGCAACTTTAGGCTCCATTCTCCTCGTTGGCGAGCAGGCCCTCAGTGTCGGAGCCCTGGGAGGACGGATGTCGGTGCTAAACTCTCCAGTGTTGGTGCCGCACCCCAGGCTGCTGTCTGGAGCTTGGGGAGCATTTATCTGGCGTGGTTCTGGACCGTCTGAGCCGTGCTGGGCCCCAGGGTGCAGGGAGCCCTTCTGGCGCTCTGCTGCCCACGTCTTGCTTTGGCAGCGACTGAGCTGAGCCCTGCCTTCGGGCTGCTCCCTGTGTCTCGTCAGGAGACCTTTGTGTCCGTTGTTGCCCTGTCAGAGGTGGCCCTGTGCAGTGTGACGGTGGGCCTGCACTGTCGGTCAGCCTTTTTTGTGGCTGCAGATTGCAGACTGCTGGTTAGCAGGCCCCGGCGTGAGCGGTGATGGTGCTCCCTGTGGGGTGGGCAGGGAACACTTTTATCATCGTAATACTTCATGGCATCTGGCTTTTAGAACGAGCCTGCGGTGAAGCTGGAAAGACTGTTTACAGAGCCAGGTGGAATGGGAGGTGTGGGGTAAGGCTGCCCAGTGGTTGCCTGTCTGTCACAGCAAGAAACTAGCAGGTCACAGTGGTGACGTGAGTGTGGCATTGAGAGACTCAGTGGAACCAACAGGAAAGCCGTTCAGAGCAGTGGTCTTAGGCAGGGCTCATGTGCTACTTGTCCTGCCTTTAACACTGGGCCTACCCTGAGGCTCACTGTGTGCAGACACCATGCTGTGCCCTCCAAGGTGCTGAGGGCTCGAGAGTGTGCTGGGTCTCTGCCGCACCCTGCCCTCCCTTCACCCCGAGCCCTCCCTACTCCAGGAGCTGCTGCTGGAGTTTGAAGCTGAAATGCGGAAGCGGGAGCACAGGTTCCGGCTGCACGCGGACAGCATGAGCAGTGTGGTCTTCACACATGAGCTCAAGGTAATGGCACTGTGTGCCCGGTGCTCTCCAGGGTGAATGCCCTCTGAGCTGGGAGTCAGGGTTCACACAGGTCCTCTTCCTGAACCCTGAGGCTGACACAGCCAGGGCACACCCGACCCTTAGCCCCAAGACAAAGACCAGCCTTGTGGAGAGGAGGGTTTTGCGGTTGTGGGGGGGGGGGAGTGGGGTGATGCCTGGCCCAGCAGCCCTGACTGGTTGTACCTGGGCAGGCTTCCAGCCAGGAGTTAGTAAGATAGACCCCGCCCTCGTGGTCAGCACGGCCCCTCCCCCAGGTTGCCTGCCTCCCCATAGTGCTGTAGTCCAGGGGGCAGCACTCAACCAGCTGGGGGTCCCAGGGCCCTGGCAGTTCTCCATGGCTGGAGCCTATCCCCAGTCTGTTCCTGGCATAGACACCAGTTCCTTGGGCCCCTGCCTGACCCTTGAGTGAGTCCCCTGACTTTGCCCCAGAGGAGTGTGGCCCCTGTCAGCCAGGGTCAGCAGGTGTCCAGACCTCGAGGCTGGAGCTGCTCACGGGGACCCTCACCAGGCCACTGTGGTGACTTCTGAATGCCAGAGGAAAAGGAATGTGTGGGGTTCATCCTGTGTTCCACAGTGCAATGGGCACTCCTGTCGGGAGGGGCTGCAGGGCTTGGGGCCAGGGGATCCCAGGTGTAGGCCTTGCCCCACATTTGCTGTGCCAGGAGGTTACAGGCCTTGGACAACTGCTGCCCCCGGGGCATCTCAGCTCACACCTGGGCTTCTCAGCTCACACCTGGGTTTCTCAGCTCACACCTGGGTTTCTCAGCTCACACCTGGGCATCTTAGCTCACACCTGGGCTTCACAGCTCACACCTGGGCATCTCAGCTCACACCTGGGCTTCTCAGCTCACACCTGAGCTTCACAGCTCACACCTGGGCTTCATAGCTCACACCTGGGCGTCTCAGGTCACACCTGGGCATCTCAGCTCACACCTGGGCGTCTCAGCTCACACCTGGGCTTCATATCTCACACCTGGGCTTCTCAGCTCACACCTGGGTTTCTCAGCTCACACCTGGGCATCTCAGCTCACACCTGGGCTTCTCAGCTCACACCTGGGCTTCACAGCTCACACCTGGGCGTCTCAGCTCACACCTGGGCTTCGTAGCTCACACCTGGGCATCTCAGCTCACACCTGGGCTTCATAGCTCACACCTGGGTTTCTCAGCTCACACCTGGGCTTCATAGCTCACACCTGGGCATCTCAGCTCACACCTGGGCTTCTCAGCTCACACCTGGGCTTCACAGCTCACACCTGGGCTTCATAGCTCACACCTGGGTTTCTCAGCTCACACCTGGGCTTCATAGCTCACACCTGGGCATCTCAGCTCACACCTGGGCTTCTCAGCTCACACCTGGGCTTCTCAGCTCACACCTGGGCTTCACAGCTCACACCTGGGCTTCATAGCTCACACCTGGGCTTCTCAGCTCACACCTGGGCATCTCAGCTCACACCTGGGCTTCACAGCTCACACCTGGGTTTCTCAGCTCACACCTGGGCTTCATAGCTCACACCTGGGCATCTCAGCTCACACCTGGGCTTCTCAGCTCACACCTGGGCTTCACAGCTCACACCTGGGCGTCTCAGCTCACACCTGGGCGTCTCAGCTCACACCTGGGCTTCACAGCTCACACCTGGGCGTCTTAGCTCACACCTGGGCTTCATAGCTCACACCTGGGCATCTCAGCTCACACCTGGGCTTCACAGCTCACACCTGGGCATCTTAGCTCACACCTGGGCATCCTAGCTCACACCTGGGCTTCACAGCTCACACCTGGGCGTCTCAGCTCACACCTGGGCTTCACAGTTCATACCTGGGAGCTTATTCAGGGAAGCGGCTGCTCCACCCCCAGATTCTGCAGCTAGGAAACAGGCCAAAGGTTATTTAAAAATAGAATGTGTGGCGGGGACTTGAACCATGTTCTCAACCTCCATCTGCATGTGTGAGTCCAGATTTAAATAATATGCACACGTTCATGCCACGTACTGGGAAGTGAAGCAGGTACACTGATCTGTCAGAGTGACGGGCTGAGCCACATGGGCCCCGTCGGGGTGCCAAGTGCTCTTGAGGGCCGTGGGTCCCCTGCTTCCACTGACAAAGTGGCGGCTCGTCTCTGCCTGCCTGTGTCTGGCACAGCTTCCCTTTGAAGTCTCCTCATGTCTCCAAGGTCAAGCTTCTGGACAAGGAGCTGGCAGCTCTGAGAGAAGCTGGAGCCCAGGCTGCCGAGTCTCTGCAGAACGCGCAGGCGGCCAACGCGGAGCTGGAGGAACAGCTGCAGCGCGCCACCTTGGAGCTCAGGGACCTCGAGGCTGTGAAGGACGCCAGGTGCAGGTCCCTCCTGGTCCCCCCAGGGGAGGGTCTGCCATCCTGGCTGTTTGCAGGCTGGCTTCCTGCTAACACTGGGTTCTTCTCAGGATAAAAGACTTGGAGGGTAAACTTCAGTCTGTGCAGCTCACCTGGAAGAAAGAGGAGGAGACATTTAGGAGGAAGTGAGTAACTCTGGCCCCACGTCCACGGACAGGTCACAGAAGAGTGCGGCATGGCCTGCTCCTCAGGTTCACCTGTGGTGTGTGCCCAGGCCCTGGAGGCTTGGAGTTTGCCTCTGAAAGGAGGCAGCAGGCATGCAAGCACTCAGACAGAGACGTGCCACCAGCCCCGGGCAGCCTCTTCCTGAGACTTGACGAGGAGGAAGGTTCATATGGCCTGAAATGGATTGTCCAGCACTGAGCATGGTGCACTTTTTTTTTTTTTTTTTTTGATAGTACAGAGAGAGGGAGAGGGAGAGGGAGACAGAAACATCGATGAGTGAGAACAGCAACTGGCCCCCTCTGGCATGCCCGTCACTGGGGATCAGGCCCACAGCCTGGGCATGTGCCCTGACCAGGAATTGAACCGGCGACCTCTTGGTGCAGGGTCAACGCTCAACCACTGAGCCACACCAGCCGGGCTACACTTTTTACTGATGAATAAGATGAGGTTGATTGTAACTGGGCTGAAAGTACATCGTGTGCTGATTAAATCATACCTCAGCATCTTATTGGAAATGCTGATTGACTCCAGAAGGAACCCTAGAAAAATGTGGTTTTAAAAGGGCTTTTAACTTTTTCTTATCCTCGCCTCAGGATTCTTTCCCATTGAAGGGAGGGAGAAAGGGAGGGACACAGAGAGAGAAACAAATGTGAGAGAGACACATCAATTGGTTGCTTCCCAGATGATCCCAACCAGGGCTGGGAATTGAACCTGCAACCCAGATATGTGCCCTTGACCGGGAATTGAGCCCATGATGCTTTGTTCCATGGGTCAGCACTCGACCACTGACCCACACCGGCCGGGCAGCGTTGTAGTTTTTATTGAAGCACAATAGAATAAAAGCATAAAGGTCATGAGCATCAGATGTCAGCTTGGCACCCAACAGCTCAGTGTGTTGTCAAGACAGACATCTGTCCTGGTGGCTGTGTCCCTGGGTGCCTGGCATCTGGAAACTGCTCGTTCGGTCGTGCTTGGTTGAGGAGTGGTGGGCATAGGCGCAAGCACCTGCCCAGCAGGAGCACGAGCACAGCTCCATCCCACAGCACACGGAGGGTGGAGAGCCGGGAGGGTCCAGAGCCGCGGTGTGAGCTGTGCAGGTCCTTGCTGTCTCCTAGGCACGAGGAGCTCGACCGAGCGGCCAGGGAAAGGGACGCGGTGCTGGCAGCAGTGAAGGACGCTCACGCAGAGCAGCTGCGGGCCCTGGAGGCCCGGGTCCTGGAGCTGCAGGCCCAGTGCGAGGCCCTCGAGCTGCAGGTCCGCAGGGCTGAGTGGAGGCAGGCGGATGCCCTGAAGGAGAAGGACATGGCTATTGACAAGTGAGTAGGGGGGCTGTGGCTCCTCACCCACAGCAGGCCCAGGGGAGTGGGCGCTGGGGTGGGGTCGTGTGTGCAGTCTCTGGCTGCTCTGCAACTGTTCTGTTTGAAACTGTAGTTAGTGTGCGTGTGTGCGTGTGCATGTGTGTGTGTGCCTTTGCTTTGTTGTGTTAAAACACAACATGTCCACCTTGACCATGGTGCCACGCAGCCAATGGTGCTGAGCACCTGCAGTTGCTGTGCAGCTGACCACAATCCATCCAGAACTGGTCACTGAACCCGTCACCCAGCTTTGCAGTCTGGCCCAACCTTCTGCTTCCTGTCGGATTCTGGCTCCTTAGGACAGCACATACACGGGGCCCACAGGCTTTGTCCTCTTGTCCCGGGTTTATTTCACTGAGCACAGTGTCCTCAAGGTTCCTGCGTGGTGTGATGTGTCAGGTCTTCCTGCGCATGGGCACCGGGCCGTTTCCATCCCGGGCCATGGTGAAGGACGCCGCTGTGAAGGGGGTGCACGGGGCTGTTCAATCTCTGTTCAGTCCCTGAGTCTGCTCAGAGGTGGAGCTGCTGGGCCGTGTGGAAGCTATTTAACCTTCTGAGGAACCATCAGACTCTCCTGCAGCAGAAGCACCAGTTTGGGTCCTAGTTTCTCCCTTAGCTAGTTTCATACATTTATTTATACGATTTTTATTTTCGTTTCATTTTTAAAAATATTTTCTCCTTATTGACTTTAGAGAGAGAGGAAGGGAGAAGGAGAGAGATAGAAACATCCATGAGAGAGAACATTGATTGGCTGCCTCCTTCATGCCCCCCACTGGGGATTGGGCCCACAACCTGGGCATGTGCCCTGACCAGGAATCGAACCAGCGACCTCTTGATGCAGGGTTGACGCTCAACCACTGAGCCACACTGGCCAGGCAGCTAGTTTCTTTTCAAGCCCAGCTTTTATTCTGGCATCCGAGCTGTCTGTGTCCCACAGCACCTGGCACCTAGGGAGAGCTGTACACGTGGGACCTGTCATTGGAACTGAAGCTGAGCCACACCAACCAGGCAGGAAACACACACTTTAAAAATCGACAGCCCTGGCCGGTTTGGCTCAGCGGTTAGAGCGTTGGCCTGCGGTCTGGAGAGACCTGGGTTTAGTTCCCACAAAGGACACGTACCTCGGTTGCAGTTTGTCCCCGGCCCTGGTTGGGTGGCAACCACTCAATGTGTCCCTTTCACGTCGATGTTTCTCTCTCTCTCTCCCTCCCACTTTATCTGAACAAAATATCAAAAAATGTCCTCGGGTGAGTATTAAAAAAAAAATCATCAACAGAAGCGCTCATGAAGTCCCAACAGACAGGAGGAGCTCTGTGAGGACCTGCCTGCCCTGTGTGGCTGTCCAGCCGGGAACATGGCAATAACCAATGTAAAAACACTAACAAGGGCCCTGGCCGGTTTGGCTCAGCGGTTAGAGCGTCGGCCTGCGGTCCCGAGAGACCCGGGTTCGGTTCCCGCTAAGGGCATGTGCTTAGGTTGCAGTTTGTCCCCGGCCCTGGTTGGTCGTGCGGGTGGCAGCCACTCAATGCGTCCCTTCACGTCGATGTTTCTCTCTCTCTCTCTTCCTCTCTCTCCCTCCCACTCTATCTGAACAAAAAATGTCCTCGGGTGAGGATAAAAAAAAACAAAAAAAAAACACACTAACAAGGATCATTAAACGTGCCTGAAAAATTATTACTGAGCTAGTTTGCATTTTGGGGATGCTACGTCTTATAGCCACATCTCAATTCAGACTCGCCAGTGCCAGGAGCCCGTGTGACCTGCGGCCCTTGTTGGACAGCGCAGGTCTGATACTCAGCCCAGGGAAGCTGGGCAGGGGCAGGCAGGGCCGAGCAGAACCAAGCATCCCTGTGCAGCCTGCTGACCCTTTGCCAGGGCCCTGTAACCCCTGCACCAGCCTTGAGGGGGAGGCTGGCATAAGTGAACATAGTTATAGAGGCTTTCCTCTGCTCTCAGGGAAGTGGCTCCCTCTCCTTCCGGTCTCTGCCCATGTGTGGCTGAATCTGCCTTGTGTCTGCCAGTGCTCAGAGTACGCATGGGGTGCTGATCAGAGGTTGTCGGCTGGTGGCCGCTGCCTTCCCTCAGCTCGCCCACTGTCCGCAGGGCCCCCCAGGCCACCCTGCACCTGTGGCTCTGGCTGTGTCCCTGGAGACCACTCATGGGCGCCCAGCAGGCCAGTGCAGCCTGGGCAGGAGACGGGCGGGCTGCAGCTGAGGGCCGCAGCCTCAAGGGCGTGAGAGCCGTGGCTGCCCAGCAGCAGCAGCTCTGGCATCTCCCCAGAGGTCTGCTGGGGGTGCATCCCTTCTTTGGTGATTTTGCCTTGGAATTTCAGGTCATTGTGGACCCTCCTTTTACTACTCAGTTTGAGAATGCGTATTGAATGTCTCCATGTTGAGGTGCTGTCTTGGCAAGGGGTGCAGAGATGGGCCCGGGGAACCCGTGCTCACCCCACCCTGCCTACCTGGAGCCCTCTTGGCGTGTCTCGGGGGCTTAGTTGGTGCCAGGTTGGTGGGATGCACTGTCGCCAGGCAAGGAGGTCTCCTCCCTGACATGGACACACGAGCGTGGGAGCCACACTGAGCGCTCGCGTCTCCCGTTAGGGCTGCGTGTGTGAGGCGGAGTGTCTGTTGGGCTTTGTGTGAGAGACCTTGCATGAGAGCACCCACACTCACAGCTGCCTTCCTGTCTAGACTCCGGGAAGAGGCGTCAGCTCTGAGATCTGGCTGGGACGCCCAGGTCGCACAGCTGTCCAAGGAGACGACCTCCAGAGACCTGCAGGTCCAGTCGCTGCAGGAGGAAGGAGCACAGCTCAAGGCTCAGCTTGCCCGGTGCCAGCAGGACATCAGAAGGTGACTGACCCCTGGGTGGACCTCGTCCCTGGGCGCCCCTCGGGGCCAGGCCTGCCCTTGGCACTGAGTCCCTGGCTCACATCCTACTGGGGAGAGAGGACAAGAAGCAGGAAACATACTTTTCCTTCAGTCTTTCTGTTTCCAATGTCACTCATGTCTGTGCTCGTTCTTTGTATTTTCTCCTCTCTTTCTTTTGGCTTTGGTTTGATGTTCTTTTGATGACATCTGATGGTGGAACCCTAGATTATTAACTTTGGACCATTCCCCTTTCAAGAGAAGTACAAACACGTAATGCTAGAGATTTTCTCTCAAGCACTGATTTGCTGCAGCCCACAGATTCGGATATTATTCGGTTAAACTTGCTTCCCCATTTCCCTTGTGGTTTCTTCCTCAATCCATGGGTTATTTAGGGATGTGTTGCTTAAGTCCCCGCTATTTTGGGATTTCCATGTATCATTTTGTTACTGATGTCTAACTTTGTTTTGGACGGAACATCTTCCATGTGCGTTTGTTTTGTGGCCTTAGGCTGTGTCCTCACTCAGTGACTGTCCCACATGGACCCCATGGGCTCCAGGCTCTGCAAACACTGCCGAGGCCCAGGTGTGCAGGGCCCCCTCTGTGCCCTCGCTGGTTCTTCCAGCTGCTGACAGGTATTGGAATCTGCACCTGGACTGTGGTCTTCCAGCTCTAAGGGCCACAGAGAGGTTGCAGGTCTTCCTGCAGCTGCACCCGGGATTGTCACAGCCCCTCGAAGAAGCCCCCTCGTTCCAGGGAGAGACCACCCAACATCCGGTGCCTGAGCTGTGTGGCTCGGCTTCCCCCTGGACTTGGGTGCTTTGTATCTGAAATGCATTTTTTATCAGTGGCCTTGGCTGAGTCCTGCTTTTTTTAAAATCCTCACCTGAAGATTATTTTCAGACAGAGTGGGAGGGAGGGAGAGAGAGAGAGAAACATCGATGGGAGAGAGACACATCGACTGGCTGCCTATTGCACAATCTGGACCAAGGACAGGGACCGAACTGTAACCGAGGTACATGCCATTGACTGGAATTGAACCCGTGACTTTTTGGTCTGCAGTCCAACACTCTAACCACTGAGCCAAACCGGTCAGGGCCAAGTCCTGCTTTTTTATGTCGCTTGACAGTCTCTGCTGTTCATTCTTGTGTCTAGAAAATTTTATGCTTACATTGATGTTTTGGGGCTTAAATATCAAGCTTGCTATTTGTTTTCTGTTCTTCCTGGGTTTTTTTTCTGCCTTTTAAAAAATAAATTGAGCCCTGGCCGGTTTTGCTCATTGGTTAGAGCATCACCCTGCGGTCCAGAGAGACCCAGGTTCGGTTCCCGCTAAGGGCACGTACCTCGGTTGCAGTTTGTCCCCAGCCCTGGTTGGGTCATGCAGGTGGCAGCCACTCAGTGTCGATGTCTTTCTCTCTCTCTCTTCCTCTCTCTCCCTCCCACTCTATCTGAACAAAAAATGGAAGAAAATGTCCTCAGGTGAGGATAAAAAATAATAATAAAAAAAATAAAATAACATCAGAGTTACAACTAAACTACAGAACAACCATCATTCAAAACCACCTGAAATCAAGCCGAATGGAAGTCCTGTAACTACAGAATTAAAGCAGCAGCCACATCGAGACTGGTAGGAGGGGCGGAGGCGCGATGGGCTGGTCCCACACCCACGTGTGGCGGATAAAAATCAGGAGGACACCTCGGCTGGGAAGGTCCTTCCTGAGGACTGAGGGGTCCCCGTCCCACACCAGGTGCCCTGCTCAGGGTTCCAGTGCCAGGAAGAGAAGTCCCCATAACTTCTGGCTGGAAAAACCCATGGGAACTGAGGCTCATGGAAGCTGACACGGCTGGAGCCCCAGGCAGCTCCCTAAAGGGCCCACGCATGGACTTATCGGACTCTCTCCCTCTAAGCTTGGAGGGGAGGCAGCTTGAGGGGCACCAGAGACATACAGGGAAGAACTGAGCTGTTTGGCACGGGAGCGAAGGCTGGAGAGGGGCTTTCTCCGGGACAAACGTGCTGTCAGAGGCCTTTGTTCCTTTGGTGAGCCCTTCCCTGGGGTGGCAGGCACCCGCCATATCTGGGACTCCAGCAACCTGGCTCACACTGGGAGCCCTGCCCTGGTGACTCCCTGAGGCCCCGCCCCACCCAACTTTCAGGCCCACCCAAGCTGTTGCCACTTGCTTAACCATAGGATTGGCCTGTCTTGGATCCTGCTTCAGGTTTTCCTAAATTCTTTCAAACAAGCAGCACCTGGTCTCAGCTAGCCCCATACCTCTCGTTAAGTAATACACAGAAACAAACACAGGGAGGCAGCCAAAATGAGACAAAGAAACAGGTCCCAAATGAAAGAACAGAACAAAACCCCAATAAAAGAACTAAACAAAATGGAGATAAGCAACCTAACAGATGCTGAGTTCAAAATACTGCTTATAAGAATGCTTAGTGAACTTAGTGAGAACCTCAGTGAACTTAGTGAGGGCCTCAAGAGCATAAAAAAGGACCAGTCAGAAATGATGGATGCACAGTCAGAAATGAAGGAGGCATTAACTGAAATAAAGAACAATTTACACAGATTCAATAGTAGAGTAGGTAAATCCAAGGAGCAAACCATCGATTTGGAATATAAGGAAGCAAAAAATGCCCAATCAGAACAGCAAAAAGAAAAAAGAATCCAAAAAAATGAGGATAGTGTAAGGAGCCTCTGGGACAACTTCAAGCGTGCCAACATTCGCATCTTGGGGGTGCCAGAAGGAGAAGAGTGAGAACAAGAAAAGAAATTGAAAACCTGTTTGAAACAATAATGGCAGAAAACTTTCCTAACTTGTTGAAGGAAACAGACATACAAGTCCAGGAAGCACAGAGAGTCCCAAATAAGATGAACCCCAAGAGGCCCACACCAAGTCACATCATCATCAAAATGCAAAAGGTTCAAGACAGAGAGAATCTTAAAAGCAGCAAGAGAAAGGCAGTTAGTTACCTACAAGGGAGTTCCCATAAGACTGTCGTCAGCTGATTTCTCAAAAGAAACTTTGCAGGCCAGAAGAGAGTGGCAAGAAATATTCAGAGAGCCCTGGCCGGTTTGGCTCAGCGGTTGGAGCGTAGGCCTGCAGTCCAGAGAGACCCAGGTTCGGTTCCCACTAAGGGCATGTATCTCGGTTGCAGTTTGTCCCCGGCCCTGGTTGGTCACGCGGGTGGCAGCCACTCGATGTGTCCCTTCACGTCGATGTTTCTCTCTCCTCTCTCTTCCTCTCTCTCCCTCCCGCTCTATCTGAACAAAAAATGTCCTTGGGTGAGGATAAAAAAAAAAAAAGAAATATTCAGAGAGATGAAAAGCAAGAACCTACAACCAAGATGACTCTATCCTGCAAAGCTGTCATTTAGAATCGATGGCCATATAAAGACTTTCCCAGACAAGAAAAAGTTAAAGGAGTTCATCACCACCAAACCATTATTATATGAAATGTTGAAGGGTCTTTTTGAAGAAAAAGATAATATATATGAACAAACAAAATGGCAATGAATACATATCTATGGACAATTGAATCTACAAACAAAATGAACAGGCAGAACAGAAACATTCTCATAGATACAGAGAACATTTTGTTGGTTGCCAGATGGGAGGGGGGTTGGGGGAATGGGTGAAAAAGGTGAAGGGATTAAGAAGTACAAATTCATTGCTAGACTGACAAACCTCAAAGGGAAAGAGGTTGAGGGGTGGGAAGAAATAAACCAAAGAACTTATATGCATAACCAATGGACACAGACAATAGTGTGGGAAAAGGCGGGAGGGGGGGCAGGAGTGGGGAGGAAGGGGTCAATGGGGGGTGGGAATGAGGAACATCTGTAATACATTCAACATTCAACAATAAAGATTTAAAAAATAATAAAATAGAGTATTTTAAAAAATATGCTTTTACTGATATTTGAGAGATAGAAACATTGATGTAAGAAAGAAACGTCGATCAGCTAGCTGCCTCCTGCACACCCCCTACTGGGGATCGAGGCCACAACCCAGGCCTGTGCCTGGTCCAGGAATCGCACTGGGACCTCAGTCCATGGGATGTGCTCAACTCACTGAGCTGCACCTGCCGGGCTAAACTGAGTATTTTTTAGAATTCCATTTTCTGTCCACTGCTGTCTTACAAATCCTCTTTGTTTTTCTTATTTAGTGATTGTTCTAAGATTTACAATATACACAGCTTTTTAAAAAAATTTTATTTATTGATTTTAGAGAAATAAGAGGAAGGGAGAGAGAAACATTGATTTATTGTTCCACTTAGTTATGCATTCATTGGTTGATTCTTTTTTTTTCTCCTTATTGATTTTAGAGAGAGAGGAAGTGAGAGGGAGAGAGAGATAGAAACATCGATGAGAGAGAACACTGATTGGCCGCCTCCTGCATGCCCCCCACTAGGGATCGGGCCCACAACCTGGGCATGTGCCCTGACTGGGAATCGAACCAGTGACCTCTTGGTGCAGGGCCAACGCTCAACCACTGAGGCACACTGGCCAGGCCAGTGGTTGATTCTTAATGTGCCCTGACCGGGGATCAAACCCACAATCTTGGCATATGGGGTGATGCTCTGCTCCACTGAGCTCCGGCCAGGGCTGCACAGTCCGCCGTTGAGGAATACTTGCCATGTTAATGGAGCATCCTTACCACCTTCTGTTTCCTCTCTCTCCTCCTCAACACTGTTGTCATACTCTTCACTTCTACGTGTTTAGTTAGTATACGTTGTTTTTCATTTGCTTGAACAACTATCTTTTAATTAAAAACTTTAAAATGAGAACAGAAGTGTTATACTTTTTCCAGTATTTATTTCTTATGCTTTTTATTTTTTAAAACTCAAGTTCAAGTTTCCCTTTGGTGTCTTTTCTTCGCTCCCAGACTCCCTCCCCCCACCGCTGTTCCCAGGGCTGCGGCACTCGGCTCAGCCTATTGGCCGAGCTCCTGCCTTTGTGTCTCAGAGCCCCTTCCCTGGGTGAGGGACGTCGTGCTACACGTGTGTCAGCACGTGTCTGCATGCTGACGTCCCACCAGGTCACCCACCACTCGCCTGATCTGCTGGTCAGGCTGGAGTTTCCCTGCAGACGTTTTGCTCTTCATTTCCTCATCGTGAGCACGGCTGCCTTTGGTTCCTGGACATACTGGTGGTGGCTGATCTAAGTGTTTCCTGCTGATTCCGTCACTTTGCTGCGTCCACATCTGTGGGCTGAGGGCCTGCTCCTGGCCTCTGTCGTCACCAGCGGGAGGCGTCTGCAGGGCGAGCTTCGAGCCTCTGGCCTTGGTCTTGATTTCTGCCTTCTGTGAACACAACGTACCCGGTTAGGACACTGGTTCCAAATGGTCTCCCCTCTGGGTTTCAAATCCATTGTGTGTTACTCTGTTACTGCTCTGCAACAAATCACCGCAAAGTTTGTGTCTTTCATCAACGTCCGTTTATTTCCTGGGTTCTGTAGTCAGTCCCGCACGGCTCAGTGGGTGGGATCCCTGCATGTGGCCTCACGAGGCTGCTCCGAGGCTCAGGCCTCCCCTTCCTGGCTCACTGAAGTTTTCCACAGAGGTCATGTCCAGCGGCTGTGGGCTGAGGTCTCCGCTTCCTCACTGGCTGTAGGTGGGGGGGTGCTCTCTGCCCTGGGGGTGCCCTGTGGCCCTCACAGCCCGAGGCCGTAGGCAGGGCAGGGTGTGGTTCATGCACCTGTCCTGTGAGTAGCGTCCGTGCTGCCCAGGCGCGGTGCTGTGTGTGCAGGCGGGTCCTCCCTCCTGCCGCTGCTCTGCGCGTGGCCCAGGGCGTGCGTGGCTCCTCGAAGGCCTGTGGCGTATGGTGAGCCCTTCCAGCGACAGAATGGGTCTCTCCTTCCACGCAGATTTCCTCCTTCACGTCCTCAGTGCTGTCTCCCTCTGCTCTGATCCCTCCAGCCCCATTAGGCTGCTGTGGGTCCTCTGAGTTCTGGAGGGTTCTCTCTCCTTGGCCTTCTGGCTCGGGCTCAGCTCGCCCGCTGCGTCCTCACTGCTCCTCTGTCCGCATGTTCCCAGGCCCCGGGTTTGTGGCCAGAGCTGCGGAGCCCTCAGACGTCTCGAGTCTGTCGGCCTCCTTCCTTCCTTACCTGCAAGTTGGTCCTCTTTCTGGAGTTTGAGCACGTCTTTCATGGGCCGGGTTTTCCACTGCTGGGGTCCCTGGCCATGCGCTCACTCTGGGCCGGAGCCTGTCCGGGGTGTCTGCTCCATGTCCACCCACGGTCAGTGCCAAGGTGCCGTGGACACGCCGCCCAGTGGAGACGGGAGGACACTGTGGCAGCCCCATGGACGTCTCCCCTGTCACCCCTCACCCTTCAGGCCCGAGGGGACCCGAGGACAGCTCGAACACTTGCGGTATAATGTCCTGCAGGTACCAGCGGCAGCTGTCCTTGGCGGTAGAGAGGGAGCAGAGCCTGGAGCGGGACAAGGTGCAGCTGGACCTGGACTGGCAGCGTCGCTGTGAGAGCGCTGAGAGGGACCAGTACCGGAGGTCGGAGGAGCTGATCCAGGGTCTGAGCACGGCCCGAGAGCAGGTGTGTGCTCCCAGGGCCTTCAAGCCGCCCTGTACCTGGAAACCCTGACCTCATGGAGAGCTTGGCTTCTCACCACTGGGATCAGTGTGTCCCTGCCCTGCCTACCAGCCCGCAGCCTTGCAGGGGTGTGCTTTGTTTTTTTAGAGCAAGTCTTTTTTTTCTGATGTTTTTATTGGTTTTTCAGAGAGTAAAGAAGGGAGAGAGAGAAACATCGATGTGAGAGAAACATCAATCGGCTGCCTCCTGCACGCCCCCTACTGGGAATTGAGCCCACAACCTAGACATGTGCCCTGACCAGGAATCGAACCAGAACCTCTCAGCCCATGGGACGACGCTCAGTCCACTGAGCCACACTGGCCGGGCATTGCATGGAGTTTTATGAGCTTTCTCCAAGTGACCCGCGCAGGACAGGCCCCATCCACACGCAGTGGGTTGGGCAGCCAGGGGTCGTGTGGCCAGGAGAGGCTGCAGGGACGCTCCCTCACGTGTCTCCGTCTGCCTTGTAGGTGGGGGTGGGGAGCTGGCATCAACTGAAGGCTGGCACTGCCCCCTCATACCCCTCCCAAGGTGGACCGAGTCCCACATTTCCCCAGATTGCGGCCAAGCTCCAGGAGGCTGAGCGGAAGCTGTTTGACCAGGAGGTGGTGCTGAAGGCTGTGACCCTGGAGAGAGATCAGGCCCTGCAGATGCTGAGGACCCACGGGCTCCTCCCCGAGCAGGAGGGGCAGGTGAGCGCCCCCAGTCCCTGGCCCTGGGGCTCCTCTGCTCTTGCTGTGCTTGAGCGTGGGTGTCGGCATTCACCGGCCTTTCTCTGATCTGCTCTCAGGCAGGCTCTGTCCAGTCCGTTTTTTGTTTCATCTCTGAAGACACCATGTGGTTCTTTTTAAATACCTTCCATTTGTTTCCCTTCCATCTGTGCGTGGTGATGGCTCTTGCACTCCTTGACTGTTGCTCACCCAGTCTCCGTTCATCCTCCCGTGTGCTGGGTCACCGTGCCGCGTCCTGCTAGGTTTTCACTCCTCTGCTGGTGGCCTTGAGGGCTCCACGCTGCCCTGCATGATGCTGTGTGAGCGCGTGCACGTGTTCTGTGTGGACTGGTGCTCGGCTCTCCTGGCATGGGCCTGGTGGAGCTGCGGGCAGACCGCAGTCCGTCTCACTGTGAGGACCCGCCGGGCCTTTCACAGTGCACAGGGCTGTTTATCCACATCCTCACCAGCGCTTGTGACTGTCTGTCTTTTTTTTTTTTAATCCTCAACTGAGGATATTTCTCCATTGAGTTTTAGATAGACTGGAAGGGAGGGAGGGAGAAAGAGGGAGAGAAACATCAATGTGACAGAGACACATCAACTGGTTGCCTCCTGCACGATCCCTAAGAGGGCTGGAGATCACCTGCAACCCAGGGACGTGCCCTTGACCAGAATTGAACCTGCGACCCTTCGGCCCATTGGGCCAATACTCTAACCGCCGAGCCAAACTGGCCAGAGCTATTGTCTACCTTTTTTATCATGGGTACCCAGCAGGTGACTAATGACTTTTTGAGTGAAAAGGAAGAGTCCCCAAGTTTATCCATAAAAGTTACCTCTGGAGCCCTGGCCGGTTTGGCTCAGCGGTTAGAGCATTGGCCTGCGGTCCAGAGAGACTGGGTTCGGTTCCCGCTAAGGGCATGTACCTTGGTTGCAGTTTGTCCCCGGCCCTGGTTGGTCGTGCGGGTGGCAGCCACTCAATGTGTCTCTTTCATGTCGATGTTTCTCTCTCTCTCTCTCTCTCCCTCCCACTCTATCTGTACAAAAAAATGGAAAAATGTCCTCGAGTGAGGATAAAAAAAAAGTTACCTCTGGAAAGCAGTCTTGCCTTGTAAAATCTAGAAGGAAAATACTTTCTTCTATCAATTTAGAAAGGACGATCACTGCACGATTTGATCCCAGGACAGATGAGGGGCCCAGGGAGTGGGGTGGGTGGGCGGGAAGGTGCAGGGACAGCGTGGCCGCAGGCCAGTGGGCTGTTGGTGTCCTGTGTAGCCATAACCATTTCCTTTCTCCTTGTACTTGGCAGGTACTCCTGAAACGTCACGAAGAAGAAGTCAGTAGTTTTCCATCTGGTGAGATACAACGGCTACAGGAGCAGAACGCAAACCTGCGAAGCGCGGTGGCACAGATGAGGGTGGAGATGGAAGCGCTGAGTGAGCGGACGCTCCCTTCTGCCCTGCCAGGGGCCAGCCCCGAGAGCCCTCGCCCGCCTGACGCAGAGGCAGCCGCAGACGCCGCCCCGGGTGAGCAGGGACACCGGGCATCTTCGCGGGGCTCTTAGACCTGAACGTCCCTCCCCTGAGGTATTCAGGTCTGACAGCAGCTTTCTCCAACGGAAGGGCCTCGTCACTATTACACACAGGACAGAAACCTCTTGTTGGTAAAGTGCAAGGACAGAGCAAGGGGTGCTTGACACACTTAAAAGCCAGAGTGAGGCTGGCCCAGGCGCAGGGCTAGCTGGCACCTGGAGCAGGGCAGCGCACAGCTGGTGGGCGGCAAGCCTGCCCTCGGAACGGGCCTGCCGGAGCGAAGGCAGACACCCCACCTTGCCGTCCCGAGTGGGGCCGGTGGCTGTGGGTGGAGGACAGCGGACGGCTGGACGGCTGCGCACTCGTGTTGTGTGTCTGTGGTGACAGCTCGTGGGTTTGCAAGAGCAGCCGTGTGTTTTCCTGACTCCTGAGCCCTCCCTGGAGCCCAGAGAGCTGGTCCCTGGACACTGCCCTGGGGACTGAGGGAGGGTGGCACACAGGTGCGAGGACGCGGTGAGGGACGGGTCAGCGAGGTGAGAGGGCTGCCTCTGGTTGAGCCTCTGCCCTGGGGATGCATGTGTGTATTTACAGGGTGGGGTTTATTTTGCAGATTATGTTCTGGCCCTTGAAGCAGAAATACGAAATCTAAAATGTAAATTTAAAGCCCTGGAAGAACAGCTGGGAGACACACTGGAGGCTTCGAAGATGCCCCCGTCTCATGCTGACGGCCCGCCCAGCACCCGTCCAGCGGCAGGAAGCGCTGGTGAGTCCCGCTTGGGTCCCGGGTCTGTCCCAGTCATCCATCTGTGCTCTGAACTGACGCGGAAGCCCCTCCACATGTTACTAAGGGCACAGATGCCACTCAGGCCTTCCCAGCACCAGGGCCTGCGCTCTGCGCCCCACTGAGGCCCTGCTCCATCTCCACACGAGGGGCCCAGGGCACCTGGCCTGGCTGGCTGCTTCCCCCCCCTGGGTTTGGTTGGTGTGCACACACCCACCGGTCCCCTCAGCACCCGTGGCAGCCACGCTCAGCGTCGCCACGCGGGGCCCCAGGACATGCTGCTGTGGTATAACTGAGCATCATCCTGCTTATCTGTCACTGTTCTGTGGGCATGACCTGCTCAGGCTGCCATAGCAACAGGCCGGGAGCCTGCAATGCTTACTCCTTATCTTACTCCTTATGGTGAACAGAAGGTCTTAATTTTTTTTTTAAATGTTTTTTTGCCCTGGCCAGTTTTGCTCAGCGGTTAGAGCATCGGCCTGCGGTCCAGGGAGACCCAGGTTTGGTTCCTGCTAAGGGCATGTACCGAGGTTGCAGTTTGTCCCTGGCCCTGGTTGGGTCATGTGGGAGGCAGCCACTTGATGTGTCCCTTTCGCGTTGATATTTCTCTCTCTCTCTCTCTCTCTCTCTCTCCCCCTCCCACTCTATCTGAACAAAAAAATGGAAAAATGTCCTCAGGTGAGGATAAAAATATATATGTTTATTTTTTTCTTGTATTGATTTCAGAGAGAGAGGGAGAGGGAGATAGAAACATCAATGAGAGAGAACATGCCTCCTGCATGCCCCTCACTGGGGATCAGGCCCACAACCTGGGCATGTGCCCTGACCAGGAATCGAACCGGTGACCTCTTGGTGTAGGGTTGACGCTCACCCACTGAGCCACACTGGCTGGGCTGGAAGGTCTTAATTTTAAACAGACTCATTGGTCAGTCCAGTATCACAGGGTTCATTCCAGTTTTCTCCTTTCCCGCTGTCCTGACTTCTGTTTCTGACCATGAAAACCAGCTGCCGACACCCTTGGTTCAGATGCTCCTTCCATCAGGCTGCACGGTGCAGGCACCACCGCACAGACACCTCCCCCTGCTGGGAGCTGGCCTGGGAGGCAGCCCACAGGGCCACGCAGAGGGCGTCCTTCCTTCCCCAGGGCTGCCGCCTGGTGCTTCTTCCCTCTGTGCTGCTGCCCCCCGCGATCTCCAGCACAGTGTTGACAGCAGCCGCTCTGCTCCCGATCCTAGAGAACTTCCGATGTTTCCTTTTCGGTTTAATGTGTGATGGACTTTTTTTGGTCTTTTTTTTGTTGTTAGATTAAGGACGCCTCTTTCTTTCCTACTTCGATACAGGTCTTTATTTCCTATCATGTACTGTCCGTTTCCGCTGAGCGTGTTCTGGAGCTTCATCGTTAGATTAGCACATCTAGAGCTGTAGCTATGCTGGCGAACTGACCTCCCGTGCAGCCCGCCTGGCGGCCGTCTGCCCTGCCACGCACACTCGCCTGGCACCAGCATGGCACTTCCTCTCTGGCAGTGTTGACCTTCACACTCCCCGTGCCCCAGCCCCCGGTGGAGGGGTTCTGGTGGCAGCACAGCCGGTGGAGCTCCAACCCCCTTGGCTGTCTGCTCACTGGACATGCTCCTGGAGGCAGTGGGTGCGGTCTGCTCTCTGCTCCCCCTCCCTCTTCCTGCCGCCAGGCATGGCGGCTCTAGCGCCCAACTGCCCCTTCCCGTCTGTCCATCTAGGGTGTTCTAGGGATCCCAGTATGTTTCATCAGTCCAGCTGCGTCAACATGTCACATCCTCATGGGGAGTGTGGCACCACTGGGCCTCCCCCCCCCCCTCCCCCCCGGTCACAGATCTTCCTATACCGGGAACCTCCCCACACAGCATCGTCATTCTTGCCTTGAACTGTTCAATGCCTTTTACAAACTCAGGAGGGAAGGTTTGCATGTGGCCCTTTCCTGACTCGGTCCTGGTGACCAGGGTCCCCCTGCAGCTCCCTCCGCTGTCCTCATGGCAGTGCGCTGCAGCTTCCCTTCCAGTCTCCGGGGCCTCCCGTCCCCTCCTCTTCATGTGGAGGGGCCAAGGTGGCATTGGGCATCCCCAACGGGGCAGTGAAGTGTGCAGTCTGCCCTGGACGAGGCAGAGAGGGCAGACGACCTAACCTTCCCCTTGGCATTAGGCGCCCGAGCCTGACAGACCTCTCTTTCCACAGGAGGAGTCATGCCAGCCGATGGCTTGTCCACCGGGCCAGCGCCCAGATGGCTGGGAGACAGGGCACATCTGCTGAACCTCCTGGTGGCCCAGCTCAGAGAGCAGGTGCGGCTGCCCCACGTGCTGCCTGACAGAGCATCCCGGGTGGGAGCGGGTGGCCTGAGCAGCTGTGGTGCCAGAGCCCCGTGCCGGCTGCCTGCCCCCTCCGAGGAGGGGCTGCGGTGCCAGAGCCCCGTGCCGGCTGCCTGCTCCCTCTGAGGAGGGGCTGCTGTGCCAGAGCCCCGTGCCGGCTGCCTGCCCCCTCCAAGGAGGGGCTGTGGTGAGGCCGGCTGGTGTGCGTGTGGCTCCCACAGGCTCAGGAGGGCCTGGTGCAGGGAGAAGAGGCAGAGCGAGGTCTGTGCTGGTGGGCGGCGCGAGCTCCCAGTGCTGACAAAGCACAGCTGCCGCACAGCGCCCCCTGCTGTCGCTGCAGGTCACAGCAGCTCCTTTTCACTGTGGGGAAGCACACACAGAGCTTGCCCTCTCTGGCGTCAGCTCAGTGACATGCAGTGCAGTCCCATTGCTGCGTGACTGTCACCACCATCTGCTCCCAGGACATATCCGTCATCTGCACAGAAACAGTGTCCATGAAACCCTGACCCCACCCCCACCCCGGCCCTTGAACCCTTGGCCCAGCAGCTTGTGTGCCTCCAGCGTGCATGCTGGCCCTCTGAGTCTGGCTCACAGCCCTCGGCAGTGTGTTTGTCCACGTCGTCCTTTAATGACCAAAGAGCGTCCCAGGGTGTGTTCCATGCTGTCCACCTGCTCACCTGACAGACACGGGCTGTTGCTGCCTCTGGCCGCTGTGAGCACAGGTGCAAGGATGCGTCCTGTGCCTTGTTCTCCATCCTCTGCGGAATGGCCACTGCGCTCCACTTTGGCTGCCGAGGTCCTGTGTCTCCCATTCTCACCGACACTCACTTCCTGACTGGTGACAGCTGTCCTAGTGGGGTGAACCGGGACCTCATATGGTTCCAGTTGGCATTTCCCTGATGACAGATGATATTGAGCACCTTTCCATGTGCTTGTTGGCCATTTGCCCACATTTATTGAGTTATTTGTCTTTTGTTGAGTTGTGGGCGCTTTTTATATATTCTGGTTCAAGTCCCTTATCAGGCACAGTTTGCAGAATATTTCTCCCACTGTGGCTTGTCTGTTCACTTCCTTGGAACTCCTTTGAGGCACAATATTTCTAATTTGGAAGATGTCCAATTTGTCCACTTTTCTGTCCAATTGTTCTCAATTGGTGCACCTCCTGCTGTGTTCTGCTTGCATGTTTCTCATGAGGCAGCAGAAGGATGAGGGCTCCACGTGTCCTCTCACCGCAAGCACATGCCACACGCAGACTCTGCGTCTTCTGAAAAGTTGACGAGACTCGCACCGCGCAGTGAGCAGGGGGCTCCAGAAATGGGGTCGTGAGCACAGGGCACTCTGCCGGCCTCTGCCCGGGCCACAGCCCTGGGCACACGCAGGGGCACACCCAGGGCGCTTCTGAGTCACCTCCCAGTCCCGCCCGCTGTCCGAGCTCACACACTCACAGGCACACAGGCATGAACGTCCACATCCGAGGCTGTAGTTTTGTCTTGCGAATCACACGATCATCCTGGGAAATGTCCACCTCAAGTGTTTCTTGTTTGTTTTTTTATTTTTATTTTTTAAAATATTTTCTCTTTATTGATTTTAGAGAGAGGAAGGGGAGGGAGAGAGATAGAAACATCGATGAGAGAGAACATCGACTGGCCACCTCCTGCATCCCCCCACTGAGGACGGCCCACAACCTGGACATGTGCCCTGGCCGGGAATTGAACCGGCAACCTCTTGGTGCAAGGTCGACACTCAACCACTGAGCCACACCAGCTGGGCTGTTTATTTATTTTTAATTAACAAAGTCTGTTCATCAGATGGTCACATCTTTCCATGTGCATGTGACAAACTCAGAGACTGCGCCCCTGTCAGGGGCTCGCTGCAGGGTTGCTGTGCTCGATCTTCCTGTGGATCGAAGGGGAGTCGGGCAGAGAGAGTTGGGTCCATCTTGGTGCCTATACTTTTTCCCTCTGACTGTCCAGAGGAGGCAGAGGGCTGCCCAGGCTCCACAAGGCCAACTTTGGCCTCCCAGCTTTCCACCCACCTCTGCCGGTGTCTGCTCCCCACCCCCTCTCCCACCCGGTCCCCAGACCAGGAGCTGCAGACTCTGCTCAGGAGGAGGGTTCCGGCACGGGCTCCCCCCTTCCCTGGGGCTAGTGCGCAGGCTCTGCCAGGGGCACCCATGTCCACTGTGTTTGCGACGGGCCCCCTGGGCCAGGCATGTGGGCTGGGGGGTGACCAGTAAACCAGAGGAGAGACTGACCACCACGCTTCCTGTCTGGCTCTTCTGAACTCTCCGCTGCCACCTCTGGTCGTCCGCCCCGGCCCCTTGCAGAGTGGCCCCCTTCCTGACAACATGCTTCCACACACCCAGGCGCTGCAGGAGCCCCCGCAGGTGCACATCTCCCGGCCCGAGCTTCCCCACGCAGCGGGCCAGGTGCCCCTGGAAGTGCTGGAGCTGCAGAGGCAGGTGGCTGAGCTCGAGAAGCATCTCTGGACAGCGCAAAAGGAAGGCAGGGGGCCTCTGAGCAGGCAGCAGCCGCAGGCCCCGGACACTGTGGCCCTCGGGAGACAGGTGAGTGCCCTACACCGGCCTGTGATCTCAGTCTGCCCCTGCTGCTGGCCATTCCGGGTCTCCCTGCAGAGGGTGTCCGGTGGGTGCTGCCTGTGTGCTGGTTGGCAGAGCCCTGGCCTGTGGGCCGCCCCCATCTGCTCCCTCTTCCTTCCCTGGCACGTCTCTCCCCCTCCCCCTCCCTCTCTCTTGGTGGACACCTGCTGAAGTGGGCAGTGCCAGCCTCGGTCTTTCAGGTCTTTCCTGTCCCTCAGTTCAGAGCCATGCATAGGAAACCCACATGTGTGACGCGGGCTGGTCTCTGTCCTCCAAGCGGGAGTCCTGACGAGTTGCTAAGAGGCCCTGAGGAGCCCCGAAACTGAGTGCTAACTTGGGGTTTGAAATTTCAAGAAGGCCCTATAGCTTCCACAAGCTTCTCCGTGTCTGATGCGGCTGCCCGTGCTCCCCTGACACAGGCCCGTCCTGGTCCTGGCCGGCCGCACCCTCACTGCCCGCTCAGCTCCCTGGGCTCGAGCCGGCGTCCGAGCTGCAGGGGGAGCTCTGGAGCCGCTTGTCCTGTGTGACACAGGCCCGTCCTGGTCCTGGCCGGCCGCACCCTCACTGCCGGCTCAGCTCCCTGGGTTCGAGCCGGCGTCCGAGCTGCAGGGGGAGCTCTGGAGCCACTTGTCGTCCTGTGTGACACAGGCCCGTCCTGGTCCTGTCCGGCCGCACCCTCACTGCCGGCTCAGCTCCTGGGTTCGAGCCGGCGTCCGAGCTGCAGGGGGAGCTCTGGAGTAGCTCGTCCTGTGTGACAGCTGGACTGCCTGTCTTCCTTCCAGAACCGACAGTTCCTGCAGGGGCCTGTGGTGGCTGCACTACCAGCGGTGACACAGGGTCAGGGCTGAGTTCTCTGAGGCCAGGCCGCACGTACCCCAGCGGCTCTCGTCCCAGGGTCCGGTTTTGAGAATGGAACTTAGGAACGCAGAGAGACACGGCCCGTGGCCCTCTCTGCTCGGGGCACATGAGGACAGTGCCTGGGGGACGGGCCTGTGAGGAGTGCGTGTGGGAGACGACGGTTGGGCGCGGAGGTGCTGCGCCGACCTCTGCCGCTGGAGGGGATGCATCTCCGCAGCCAGTCCTGGCCCGGGTGTGCTCTGTCCCCTGCCACCTGCCCTTGCTCAGTCCCTTCAGGCCCTGCAGTTCTCCGTCACCCACTGATCCACTTGTCCAGAGTGAAGGGGAAGAAGTGGTGCAGATAAGCAGAACTTAAAATTAAGGTGTGTAGTCTCTCGGAGACGGGTAGGGGGTGAGCTCTTCGGGCCCTGGTTCTGCACAGCAGTCAGGGTCTTACACTCCTTTCCAGTCTAAGCGTCCTGTGACCTTGGGGGGGGTCACTTCCTGGGTAAGAAATTGGAGGCACAAGAAATCCAAGTGGCCAGTCCCTCTGTTCAGACCAGGCCACCCAGAGCTGCCCAGCTGTGCGTCTGCACCTGAGAGGCAGTGACAGAAGGGAGGGAGACCGAGGGTGGGGGTGACCCAAGGGGCGGCTGGGCGCTGTGAGAGGAGAGAGGGGCACGTGTTCCTGGACTGCCCCTCAGGGCCCAGGAGCTGTGATTCCCTGGGGGCAGTGACAGACCTGTGCCCAGAGACTGGCTTCTGAGCCCCTCACTCTGCTGAGAGGAACCAGGACAGGTGGCGGATGCCAGCGTGGGGACATGACGGGGGCACAGAAGCCACCTCAGGCCCTGCTGACCAGCCCGGGCCAGTAGTGCTGGTACAGACAGGGCAGTGGAAGAGACGGGAGGAAAGCAGGTCCCAGGGGCAGGGGCTGCTGGCCTCACAGGGAGACGGGAGCCGCGGGAGGTGGCCGTGCAGTACCGGACGCCATGTCCTCGTCACAGGGAAGCAGTCGCTGTCAGGGGGCAGTCTGCCGACACCACCTGTTCGAGGGTCAGCCCCATCGCTGGTGCTGGGACAGACGGACGTCCAGGGCTCCGCACTGGCCACACCAAGGGCACACTGCAGTCGGTGGGCTGCACCTGTCAGGGCTGAGGGGACCCAGACGCAGAATAGGAGGGACACGTGATGAGGGACACTGTCCAGGTGACACCTGTGTGTGGACGCTGCATCCGCCGGATGTCGGCTCCACGTGAAATTCTAGTCTTGATGAACAGCCGCTTATTCAGAGAGCGTCCTTGTTGTCAGGAAGTGAAGCGCATGTCTGGGCACAAAGAGCAGTGTCTGCAGCTTTCTCTCGGTGGGTCGGGGCAGGTGACGGAGCGCACAGCCCGCCACCACCTCAGCAGTGTCTGCAGCTCCCCCAATTTTAAATTCTGACAAGTACAAGCCCATCCCTCCTGCCCCTGCGGAGAAGGAGCCTCTGTGCAGTGCCGCTCTGGGGCCACGTAGGCTCTGCCCACAGCGGGAGCGGCTGGTGGGCTGACGGAGGGAGGGAGAGACGGACAGATGAGGGATGATGGCTGGCTGACCAACAGCAGGGGTCGTCACCCTCACCCTCTGCCTGCTGGCTGCTCCACCCCGTCCTGGGAACCCGGCAGTGCCCAGAGGGATGCACAGTCCACTGGGGGGCGGTGTCCGCTGTCTGAGGCAATGCTGCTGGGAGCTGGGAACCTGCACGGGGGTTTGAGTCCACAGCGGGTGGGGGAGAGCTGCCCACCATGACGGTGTCCCCTCTGTCCTCTGCATCTGTGGTTGGGCTCCCTCGTCCCGAGGCCTTCGCCTCTAGAAGGATCTCCTGGAGCCCATCATCGCTACCCTGGGACACTTAGACATCTCAGCAAGCCAAGCTCGTCTACTGGCCAGGCGCGCTCCTTCCTGGCCGTGGGGCTGGGTCAGCGCCTGGAGCAGAGAGGGCAGCTGTGAGGGGAGCCTGGGCCGGGTGTTCAGGCCTCCTGAGTGGTCGCTGTTCGCATGCAGTCATTATCGTGGACAGAAACTTGAGTCACCAAAATAAAATCATCCTACCAGAAACTGAGCCCAAGCTCAGTGGGGGGCCTGCTGAGGTCCCCGCTCGCCATGCGGCTGCAGGGACTAGAATGCTGGCCGTCCAGACCCCAGGCCTCACTCATGCTGGGGGGCGTCTGGGGAGTGAGTTTCCTCTTTAAGTGTTCTGAGGTCTGCAAAATGTTTCAAGATTGCTCTCTCCTCACTTAAAGTGACACAGGGTCGGACACCGTGTCCTGTGGAGGACAGGGCCTTGGGGACAGACGCTGGCCCAGCTCCCACCTGGACTGGTCGCCTGGCTGGCGTGCCTGGAAGGCTGTGACAGTCACAAGGGGCTGGGCCACCCTGTCCTGTGCCGGCCCTTCCATCGGCTCAGGACCCCACTCATGTCCCGCATCCCTGAGAAACCAGACAGGCACATGGCCCATTCATGGGGGAGACCTTTGCGGCCTTCAGTCCACGCTAGCCTGAGGCACCTGCTGGGTGCGGGCAGGCAGTCACTGCGGCTCCTAGGCCACCTGGAGGAGAGCAGCTACCGTGGGCACCTGCCAGGCCAGGACAGGGTGTGCCAGCCTGTTCCAGGGACGCGGGCCAGCTCCTTGTATCCACCTAGATCTCGTGGCCAGGACAGGCACACTGTGGCTTTTCATAGGTGTCAGGAGCAGCCATTCCAAGTAGGCCACCTGCTTCCCTCGGGGCCTTGGACACCACTGGCCTCTCCTGGGCCCCTACTTGACACAAGCAGCTCCCCCTTTTTCTTTCCCTTGTTCTGCAGGCCCCACCTTGTTCCACATGCCTCCTGTGTGAGCACGTGTTTGGGCAGGAGCCCTTGTTGGGTCTAGCTTGGGTCCAGGTGGGGATGACCCCTTACTGGGGTTAGGACTGTGTGCGGCCCAGACCTCGAGTGTTGACCTCCAGAAGCCCCAGCACTGCCCCCCTCATGGCCTCTGCTTCTGTCTGCACCTTCATCAGGCAGTGGGGACCTGGGTTGGCCCACAGTGCTAAAGGAGTCTGCGGGCAGCTGGGGAAGGTGTCGGAGCCATGAGCCTGGTGCAGGATGGAGCCCAGGAGGGCCAGGCTGGCGCAACCGAGGGCAGTGCAGGGTGTGAGATGGTGGAGAAGGGGCTTTGCAGCCACCACAGGGTCCCTTGCAGCCCCTCCATGCCAGGTGGGCAGCAGGCACCCACAGGGGTCCCATCACAGCACAGCCCTCAAGGATGCAGCTCACCACTGGAGGCCAGGGCGGGTGCTGCTGGCCCTGCATCGTCCTCACTGGGCACTGCATGGAGGAGCACAGGGACAGCGGGTGGGGTCTGGGAACGAGCTGGGTACAGAAGAACAGGGCATCCCTCCTGGGAGAGGGGCCGGGTCCACAGTTGTTCTCATCTCTGAACAGCTGTCCCATGGCCTCAGTTCTGGGACTGCGTCTGACACCAGGGAGGGCGGGCCTGGGACAAGTGGCACATCACCCTTCCGTCCCCTGGGGGCTTGTCTCACAGGCTGTCTGCTGTGTGGGCTTCATTCACAGTGCCCAGCAGCCGAGGGGCCTGCAGGGACCCAGGGCCTGGGGACGCAGCTCCCACAGGACCCGTCTGTGCAGCAGCTCCAGAGGAAACTGAAGGAGGCAGCCCGGACGGTCCTCCGCCTGCGCCTGGAGAAGGAACAGCTGCTGGAGCTGGGGAACCGCCTGCGTGCTGAGCAGGGCCGGCCCTCGGGTGAGCAGGGTTGCAGATGGCCTCAGAATGTGGCCTTGGAGAGGGGAGGGGGAGGCCGGCACAGGGCAGGGCCCCGCATTCAGAGGGTCCTCGAACCCGCTCACTGGCTGTGTTTGTGAGAGAAACACCACCTCGCAAAGCTGCGGCACTGTGTGTGGCCTGGTGAGCAGCAGGGGCCACGGTGTGGAGGTCACAGGGCACAGGATGGGCCGGCCCGCCCCACCCTCTTGTGCGCTGCTCGCAGGCCGTCTGCCTTCGCCTCCCGTTTCTGCTGCTGCTGCAGCACCAGGCCGGGCCCCAGCTCTCAGGCGGCTTCCACCGGTCTGTCTTCTGTTATTGCGAGGACCCCAGTGTGCAGGGGCTTTGGGACCCGCCCGCTGACGATGTCAACTGACGCCACCCCTCACTCCTTCTGTGGCCTGAACACCACGGCCACTGGGTTTCCTTTTCGAGGCGGAGTGCCCTGGTGCCCACGTGAGGGGCGGTCAGGAATGTGGCTGGTCCTCCTTCGAACCACCATGTGCTCAGGAAACCACGGCACAGGCAGGGCCTGGTGTTTTATTTTCAGGTCTCTTCCCAGGGCTAAGCTGTGTGTATCATATTAGGTTTTTTAAAACATATATATTTTATTGATTTTTAGAGAGAGGAAGAGGGAGAGAGAAACATCCATCGGCTGCCTCCTGCACACCCCCTACTGGGGATGGAGCCGGCAACCCAGGCCTGTGCCCTGACCAGGAATCGAACCGGGACCTCTCAGTCCATGGGACGACACCCAGTCCACAGAGCCACACCAGCCAGGGCAAGTTGTTTGTAACATATGAATGTGTTCTGCTGTGACCCAGTCTTGGAAGTGGAATTTGGGAGGACTTGGAGCTCAGGGACACTGTGTTCCTGGGACGAGGTGCTAGGGAGAGTCTGCAGAGGGGAAGCAGCCACTGTGTGTCCAGAGGCCCTGCCCGAGGGAGACCGAGGCCGGGGCAGTGCGCAGCTGGCCCCTCAGAGCACCGGCAGCACCTCCCTCTGCGGGCAGCAGGCGTGTCCTCGGGTTTGTCCTGCAGAGGAGGACTGAGCGCGCTCAGACGCTGCCTGTCCTCAGGCTCCGCAGGTCGAGGAGGAAAGTGGCGTCGCCTGCTCCCCAGAGGCACTTCCACACGTTTCCGTAGCAGGCTGTCTGCTCGCGCCTCCCCCCCTCCACAGCCGCCCCCTCTTCCCTGAGCTCCGCTGCGCCTGTCTCTTCTGAGCCCGCACCCCTCCCACACCTGAACCTCGCTGCTCTTTGACCTGGGCCCTGCTCAGTGCCCCTCCGTGCCCTCTCCCTGTCCTCTCCATGCCCCCAGGCCCAGACCTGTTCTCTGACTGCGGCCGTGCCTCCCTCGGATCCTCGATTCCAGTGAGCTTGTCTTTGCTCCTCACTGTGGCTTCCTATAGCCATCCTGGCCTCAAGTATTATCTCAGTGAGTTACACCCACCCATCTATCCTTCCATGCACCCATCCCACCGCCCGCCCGCCCGCCCATCCATGCACCACTCACAGTCCACCTAGCCTAGCCATCACCACCACCTGCCCATCACCACCCACCTGCTGGGGAGGGTGTTTCCTCCACCTCTTAAGTTTTGGATTTGGACGGTTTAAGGATCAGACTGACACAGACAAGGGAAGTGTGCATGCTGGTCTCACAGGAGTGACCAGCCTGGCCACACTGACAGGTGGAGAACGGGATTCCAGTCAAGGGCACACACCCGGGGAGTGCGAGAGGCGACCAACCAATCGATATGTCTCTCTCTCTCTCTCTCTTTCTCTTTTTTTTTTTCAATCCTCACCTGACATTTTCATTTTTTCATGTTCAGATAGTGGGAGGGAGAGAGGAAGAGAGAGAAAGAGAGAGAGGGAGAGAGAGAGAGAGAGAGAGAGAAACATCGATGTGAAAGGGACACACTTTGTGGCTGCTACCCATATGACCAACCAGGGCCGGAGACAAACTACAACCGAAGTACGTGCCCTTAGCGGGAACCGAACCCGGGTCTCTCCGGACCGCAGGCCGACGCTCTAACTGCTGAGCCAAACTGGCCAGGGCAACAAAAGACTTTTTAAAATCAGCAGTATTTTAAACAAAAACGTCATAAACATTACAGTCATCTTCAGTTGTTCATTTCGTGCCAGGTAATTAATTCTGGTTGAACTGGGCCTTCTGGGAGCAGCTGTGAGGAGCCTCCGCGCGCTCCGCAGACCCTGTCCAGCTAAGGCTGGCGGAGCGCCGCAGCAGCCAGTCCCCGCGGCAGACGGACGCACCGTGCAGGTGACGGAAGCCTGTTTCCACGGCCCCGCACATTACGATGGTGCCTGGCACTTACATTCGCAGACGGGCATAGAAAGCCTCAGCGTCGCTTCTTATCTGCTGATTCCTCCGTGTCATTTAACCTGTTGAGTCAGACGAATTCTATGGAGAGAGAGCGCGAGCAGTTCTCTGGGGTTTTTTGTTTGTTTGTCCTTTAAGAGAGCAATTTTTTTGAAATGTTCCAGGGCCCTCTAGAAAATTTCAGTTACTTTCAGGTCAAAAGACTCTATTTAGAATTTAATATTTGGGAAGTTACCAAAATATCAAAAGTTTTCTGAAGCACTTGGTTCAACAGGACCCTACATCACTGTGGACAGCCCTCAGCGACCCACATAGCTGTGCTGACAGTGAACGGCCGTGGGCAAAGGGGTTAAGGGTGGGCGGACCCATCAAAAACCCGGCAAAGCACAGAGAATGATTTTGATAAAACACAAAATCTCACTTTCCAAGTACATGACTTAAAAGGTAAAGAAACGTTTGCTCTGTTACCAGACCCTACCTGCGAGCCCGGTCCTTGGCGCAGGGCAGGGAAGCCCGTCCGGGCTGTGCCATGTGCTTCGGCCGCCGTCTACTCCAGAGTCGGGCGTTTCCCCGAGCCGGCCACCCGTGAGCTTCCTCTCCAAAGGGCCCTTTCCCGGAACACCCTGCAGCTCCTCTCCCACGTTCACCTCCTGCCTCCCTTTCCCGTTGCCGGTGTTAGGGCGAGGTTATTTCTCTTCCCTTAACAATGTATTTCCATACCTCAGACCTCTTCATGCTGAAACATACATCGTGCTTCTCTTGCAAATGGACACGTTTCCCTTCTTTCTTCTGTAGCTTTAATCACACACATTCATTAGAATTCTTTTTTTCTTTTTTTAATTTTTTTTTTAATCCTCACCGAGGACATTTTTCCATTTTTTGTTCAGATAGAGTGGGAGGGAGAGAGGGGGAGAGAGAGAGAGAAACATCGACGTGAAATGGACACATCAAGTGGCTGCCACCGCACGACCCAACCAGGGCCAGGGACACACTGCAACCGAGGTTCATGCCCTTAGTGGGAACCAAACCCGGGACTCTCTGGACCGCAGGCCGACGCTCTAACCGCTGAGCCAAACCGGCCAGGGCTCATTAGAATTCTTAGCCCTCAAAAACCTTCATTTCTGTTGGAAACTGGGAGGTAGGCAGTTGTGAACTGTCTCACACTGGCGTGCTGTGGACTGATAGACTTGGAGATGCCTTTCAGGGTTTCTAAAAACGGGCTTTTTCATAACAAATTCTTCAGTGCGGCCTGAAACATGTTTACTGATAGACCCAAATATCTTCGGTGTCTTGGTAACGAGGAACCAAAAGTAGATAACCCTGCGTTCGGTAAAGAACATTTCATGACGTCATTTTATCTGGACAGGATCTAACATTCAGTGAGGCCCATCATTCAGTTTAACTTAGTGAAACTCGAAGGATGTGTGCTGCCCAAGAGACTCCGGAAACTGTTAAGTAGACGTGAAACGATTGCAAAAGAGGTCACCACAACTCTTATCTTATTTACATCTTTTGAATTTATTTGTTTTTCATAATCATACTTTGATTACTCCCGAAAATGTTGAGACATTCAGCATTCAGCTAGCACTCTGTCACCAGAGGGGAGGGGTCTCATCCCCACCAGTGCCCGTGGGGGTGGAATTCTTGCAATGTCCTGAGGAAAAGCAATATTGGTGGAGTCAAGCCTGAGTTTCCAAGGTTTTTATTTCCCTCAGTCCTGCCAGGAAGAAGTCCTATTTGCCTGCAGCAGGGCTAACATCAGAGCAGTCTCCAAAATCCCCTCTCCATGTCTGCGCACCCAGCGCCGCGTCGGGCTGGCCTGCTCCGTGTCTCCCCGCCGCAGTGGCATGTGGGCTCCGCAGGGACACTGGCTGCGGAGGACACCGGGAGTGCGGGGAGCCGAGAGCATGAGGAGAGAAGGAGAACTGGTTGGGGTCACGGATCTCACATGTTCACAGCTGGCATTGGCCCCACCCATCCTCACCAGCACGCTGTGTTCCCAGGTGACTGATAGGCAGGTACCTCCCCCCTGTCGCCCCAACTTGAGGGCATGCATCTAGCTCCCCTTCAGTTGGACCCTTCCCCGTGGTCTGCAGGGAGGGGACCAGTGGCTCCCGGGGAGTGTGAAGGCGAAGCTCCCTGGGGAAGCTGCTGGACGATGTGCCCATGAGGCCTGGCCTCCCCTTTGCTCCTGTCCTCTCGTTGATAACTAGCTAATTACAGTGGTACCAGCCCCCCAGAGAGCACAGCCTCTTTGTGACCTCACAACAGGGCGAAGGGACGACGGGCTCCATCTTGTAACTGCGGCGGGTCAAGGGCGCAGTCCTGCCTATCCCCAGGCTAGAGGCTCTCCCTGTCTGACAGGAAGGGGCAGGGGAAGGGGCCTTCATGGAGGGAAGGGAGTTTGCAAAGTCCTGGTCGGTCTGGTGTCCCTGGGAGGCGGCACAGGCGATGTCCAGGGGAGGGTGCTGTCTAGAGGGCGCCGTGCTGGCCAAGCTGGTGTTCTGGTTGTATCCTAGAAATGACAAAGGACGAGAAGGGTAAAAGGCATGATTAAAAAATTAGGAGACTTTTGGCAACTAAAGGCGTAATGAGAGGTGAACAGCCATGAGATAAAGGGGCGCTGCCCTCAGCCAGGCTCCA